AGTCAGAAGCTTGCTAGACTGGGAATATTTAAAGTCGAGAAAACTGATGTGGGAGGAGTGGCGATGCGTTTCCCTTTAATCTCAGACGGGGTCGTGTGGCAAAGAATGAATAAACTTGTTTCTTTGGGCTCAAGGTGAGAATTAGATCATCAGATTTCATTCCAATATGGCAAGTTTACTTTAACTTCTGAGCGGCAATTGTATTTCTTGAAATAATCATGCAGATATACTGGAAGGTGAGCACAAAGGATATCCATTGCTCCCATAAAATGAATTACTACAGCAAGAATTAAGAGAGACCGAAGTAGACATAGATGTGAATGTAGTTTCGATAAAGACCTATCTTCAAGCTACGCTTACGTCAGTGGTCTCCTAACTAGTCTTTGCTTCTACTCTTACTTCCAACCTTACCCAACCCTGTCCCCAGTCTGTTCTCCACCCTGCAGCCAAAATGCCCTTTTCTTTTTTTTTTAAAGATTTTTTTTTTTTTTTAATTTATTTGACAGAGAGAGATATAGTGAGAGCAGGAACACAAGCAGGGGGAGTGGGAGAGGGAGAAGTAGGCTTCCCGCGGAGCAGGGAGCCCGATGCGGGGCTCGATCCCAGGACCCTGGGATCATGACCTGAGCGGAAGGTAGATGCTTAACGACTGAGCCACCGAGGCGCCAAAATGTCCTTTTTCAAAATGTGAGCATGATCATGTCCTTCCCCCTGCTCAAAACCTTTCAACAGTCATCCCATCACATTTAAGAGTAAAATCCAGAGTTGTTGCCATGTTCAGTTTCATCTCTCATCATTTTCCCTCTTGTTTATGCTCCAGCCACACTGGCCTTGTTTTTAGGTAGCATGTGTTTAAAAACAACAACAACAATAAAAAACAACACAGGCCCAAAATGGTGTCATTTAGAATTCCCAAATGGTGCTCAATACCATTTGTATAGATACCAGTGTAATCTAATTGCACTTTCAACTTCCCCCAGAAATACAGTCTTAATCAGTCAGCCAGGTATTTTTCAGTCCTCACCAAAGGGTCTGCCACCTGGGCCCTCTCCATCCCCCAAAGAAGGACAAGATAATCTGCATGATAAGACAACTTGCTTTTCCCCTAGAAAGTGGCCTTGCCTAGAAAAATCCTTTTCTTTTGCTAATAACTTTCTTGCTCTCACTCTCCTATAAAAGCTTCCATTTTGTATAACTCCTTGGAGTGCCTCTCTACTTGCTAGGTGGGTGCTACTGGATTGAAGAATCACTTAATAAAGCCAATTAGATCTTCAAATTTACTTGGTTGAATTTTGTTAACACATGCTTCTGTTTCATGGCCCTTCCTCTTGCTGTTGCATGTTGGGACCGCTCTTCCTCCAGATATCGCTGCAGCTTGCTTTCTCATTTCTTTAGTATCTCTGCTCAAATATCACGTCTTCAAAAACACCTGCTCTGACTACTCTATTTAAAATAGCAGAGCCCCACCAACTCTGTGTTCTCCTTGCCTGTTTTATTATTTTTCTTCATAGCTCCTGTCAGTATCTGACATTTTATCTTTGCTTATTATTTGTCTCTTTTCACTATAGCAGAAGCTCTTTTAAGAGCAGGCATTTTGTTTTGTTCCCTGCTGCTTTCTCATCACTGGGAACTGCCTGGCACATAGTAAGAGTGTGGTAAATATTTATTGAATAAATGAAAAAAGTTAAGTGAAAAAAGCAATCATGCACCACTATGTGGTTGGAATGCTACCACATGTAAAAAGGGAATGACATAATACATATAATACTGGCATATGCATATATGAACTTTGGAAAGAGATCTGGGAGATGAGGAGGTAAGATGATACATTTTCACTGTATGTTCTTTTATGCAGTATTTCTAAAAACCAAGTACCTGTATTATCTTCTCAAACAATATATACGAATGTAACGAATCAGAATATGCCACTTTGGCATAAGGATTATTTTGAGCTGAAAACATCTGAGAAGTAGACACAGTAAAGTTCTCTGCTCTCACCCTTATAAATTTCTGTGTGTGAAGGTGTTGCTCCCCTCCTCTCCATCAGGAAGAGCAGAAATTAATCACAGGAGATCACTAACTCCAGACTTTTATCAGTGAGAGGAATCTACATACACACCTTACTAAAACAATCCTTATCTTCCATTAGTTTCTCCCTTGTATTTACCTTCCCACAGTCTGCTTCCCTAATAGCCTAAACTCCTTTTCATTGTCTTATCGTTTCTCTACAAATTTAAAATTTATCATCCTTTGTCAGAATACTATAAAAGCCCCCAGGCCTCCCCAGCCCCATCTCTGAACCTAGAGGGTAGAGGAAAACTTTCCCCCCTTACAGGGGAAAAAACAACCTAGTTTTGACAATCAACATGTAAAAATAGGAGGGGCTGCCTTGGTTGACAGTGAGCTCCCCGCCCTAGAGGAGATGCTGCTGAGGGGTTCCTGCATGAGGTGGGAAACTGGAGCAAATGATCCACTTTCCCCACTTTTGCCACCTAGAGGAGAAAACACTCAAACACTTAGGGTCAAAAACCCTGAGAGATGGGCAGGATCCCACAGTGATACAGATGAGAAAATGAAACTTTTTCAGCTGCCAGCTAGACCCAATGTTCCTCACTGAACTTAAACAGCGCTCACAGAATGTAAACAAATATCAGACAAGGCCACTCTGTCGTTGGAACAAGCCAAGGACAAGGCCACTGTGGAACCACAAATAATGACAACATCCTCCTCTTCTAACATGAGTGTGTCCTGCTTCCTTCTCAATCATAACTCTGGCCCCACTTCAATCCTCCCACCTCCTGGGTAAAACAGTAAGATAGCTAACCACTGAATTGCCCCTGCTTCTTGACTGTATCCAATTCAAAACCGTTCCCCGCTTGCTTAAATCCTCCTTACAGATACCCAGCACAAACCCAAATCCTACAATAAGCTCTTCCCAATTCTCTGTTAGCAAGATACCTCATGTTTTCTCTGATGTGAATTCTCCCTTGCTGAACAAGCTAAATAAATCTGATTCTTTTTTGAGTACAGGTATGTTCCTGATGGGATTTGATCGTGGACTTTATCATAGTCTTAACCTTCTTCGGCCCAGTCCAGCAGTACCCAAACAGGAAGACATAAGGATTTTAAGGGTTATCTGGAAGGGTTACTTTCAGTGATCGCAAAGCAACCTGACTTGGGCAGGCATTTGGTGATAGGGGTTGGGGGGTGGTGGGGTGAAGGGCTCAGGTGGGAATTAGGAAAGTTTGAGTAATTCTCCTTCCTCTGCCATCAACCCTTTCTGTGGCCTGGGGTAAACCATTCCACTTTGAGCCTTTTTCCATTTCTGTAAAAAAACAGACTCAAATATATTTCTAAGGCTTCTTCCAATCTAAATATTCTAGGATTCCAAACTCTACAGGTTCTTATATTCCCAGGTAAATGTTCCCTTCTTAGTCATCTGTTTAACAGTCTCCATCATTGTTGCCATTATCTGCACACCACCTGCACTTTTATGTAGATATGTGAATCACTTCTCAAAACTTTTTCTTTAAGACCCTCAGTTTTTACTTAAATTTACAAAGTAAAATTTACATCACTTCTTAAATGGAAAACCATTGCTGAAGCTGCCTTGGCCCCTCCAGCCAACCCAGTAATCTAAACTTCAGCAAACACCCTGAGCCTGAATGACTGATTAACTAACCCTTCCTTGTGTGTCTATAGATCGTGCATTCTTTCCTATAAAGGGCAGCGCACTTCTGCACCTCACAAAACAGAAACCAGACCCTCTTGCACAAACCCCGGGAACTAAGGAGCCAGACTCCTTTGCACAACCTCTGAGCACTGCAATAACGTTTGTAGCCGGCACCATCGAGTCTGCACGTAATCAAGAAATGCTGGGGCCACCGCACTCCTTTTACTGATTAACTGCCCTAAACCCCTTTATAAATCTTTGGGCCAGGCAGAAACCTCGGAGTTGGACTTTGGACAAGAGTGTGCCTTCTCTCCAGGTGGCCAGCCTCCTGAACAAAGCTCCTATTCCTTTCCAAGCAAAACTCATCTCTCGAGTATCGACCTTTGGAGCAACAACGGGCAGCCCAATTTGGGGTTCAGTAACACTGCTTGGGAGAAATCAAAGAACTTCTGCAAGCACACACACAAACCCTAAAACAAAACAATGTTATTTAACTGTAGATGGGCTTACCTTTTGGAGAGATTTGGAAAATGAAGCCAAAAATGGAGATAAGCAAATGTTAGAAACACGTTAAGTAAAGTACTAGTCTCAAACTCTCTTTGGTTTGAAACAGGGCTTTCTGACTGCCGTTCAGTGCTACCTAACGCGTTCATGCACCCCGAGGCCCCTTCGTGTACCCCGAGGGGGGTGTATACCCCTCATTTTCAGAAACAACACCCATCCTTCCCCGATTAGCTTGGACTCGTCTTTCAGTTCTCAGATTAAATATAAATTCCTCAGAACACCCCTCTGGGATTACTCCCCCCCCAGCTACATTATTTTCCCCTCACATAGTAAGCATTAAAGAAACTTTTATTGAAAGGATATTCCCTCATACTACTTCATGGTACTCATCACGTGTCGTGGTGCATGCATGTTCAGTGTCAGACTCCTTTTTTAAGTAGGCCGTAAATTCCTGTGCACTTCTGTACCTCAGATGTCGACACATAACGGGCTCCCAAGTGAATACAAGTGAGGTGAAGGAATAAGGCCTTCACAGCTCCTGCCCCTCCGGGCCGCTTTAGCAGCATCTCCCACCTCCGCGCCGGGCCGGGCCAGCCCCGCCTCCTCCCTCCGCGCCGGGCTGAGTTAGCCCCGCCTCCTCCCTCCCCTCTGGGCCGGCTTAGCCCCGCCTCCCCCTCAGAGCCTGGTCGGCTTAGCTCCACCTTCTCCCTCAGCTCCATGCTGATTTAGCCCCGCCTTCTACCTTTGCCAATGACAGAGGCTCTCTTGGCAGCGGCGGCCGAGGGCGGTGGGCGGGGCCACGCAATGACGACACCCGCGCGTTTCCGGCCTGAGAAAACGTCGCGTTTCTGAGGAGACACCTCGACTGGCAGTTACCACCGTGCTAGAAGCCTCCGGACCGGCCACCTGCATCACCAGCGTCACCATGGGGGCCGTGCTGGGCGTCTTCTCCCTCGCCAGCTGGGTGAGTTCGGGATCTGGTGTCTCCGTCGGACGTGTCGTTTGGGCTAGGGCGATAGGGAGCCCCAAACCCAGACGCGATCGGGCCTTGGCCCGGGGCTTGGGGGGGACGGGCCCTGGGCTGCAGAGAGTATCCGGGGGCGCAGACCACAATCAGTGATGCCCCCCCCCCGCCCTCTTCGGGATCGGGCGGCTCGCCTTCCGGGTTTGTGGGGGGAACGTAGGAGGCCAGGCCGTCATTGTTTACGATTTCGAGTGCCCCGCCCCCGCGAGGCTTCCTGCCTTTGGGTTCTTCTGGAGTTGGAATTTGGACCGCGGAATGAGAGTTCCGGGGCGAGCGCGCTCTGCTTCATTTCGAAGTACCTTCATTAAGGTGGCGTCATTTAATTTGGGGTGGCTTAAGTGATATTTTTATCCCATAGAATGGATTTCCCGATGCTACAGAGTATGTGGCAGAGCTGGGATTTTAACCGAGGCTTGTGTGCAGTTGTGCAAAGGAAAGAAGGCCTTGTGGATTATTATTCAAAATTGGAAGCCATGGCGTGAACATTTGGGGACCTTGTCCAAGACATTTATCTCTGGCTTCCCGTAACATAAGGCTAATCACCCCAGCATTCCTCACCTTGACAGCTGCTGTGAGGATAAAGTGAATAAACGGGTTGAATCGCTTTGTAGATTGTAAACGCCGTATTTTAAAAAGGAAATTTTAGGATCTATGGAAGAGAATAGGTGAGTTCCCTCATATACTTGCTCCTGAAGAGCATGATTCTTTAAAATCACTTCTTGTCTCATAACTTCCTCATTTAATTGACCAAGGACTCAATCTCAGCTCGTTCCACTACCATTTCTTAGGGACAGAGTACAAAGTGTATTTTCCATTCTTAAAGGTTGTTGATCCTCAATCAAAAGGGTGTTTGGTCATTTACAGGTTCCTTGAGAGCTGTGGCTTCCCATTTTTTTGACCTTGACCCAAAGTAAGAAATCTATTTTACATGGTTGATTTAATATGCCCATTTAGACACAAGTTTTATGACATAATTTTTACTTTTATCATCTGCTGTACAATTTTTCTATCACATTAGAACAAATCCTGGTAAGTTGAATTTTACAGTCCACAAGTGGGTCAGACTGTTTGCAAAATAGATTTAGAAAAAAATATATAGTTAAGAAGGGAATTAGTTAAGGAATGAATTTGTAATTTGAAACAAAGATGTCTGTCTTATCCTAATAACCTGAAACACATTTTGCCTTTGATGTAAGGTTAATATTTGAATTGATGCCATCAAAGCATTTTTATCTGTAAATCGCTTTTCTATTTTATTAATCCCTTTTATCAACAGTAATAGCAAGGAATGCAGTGTACCAGAGATGGGATGAGTGAGGGGAGGAATAATAGGAAATGAAGTCAGAAAGGTAGCAGGGAGCCAAATCATGTAGATACCCATTGTATGATCTTGTAGGCCAATTTAAGGACTTTGGCTTTTCCTCTTAAGTGATGTGGGGATCCATTATAGAAAAGAAAAGAGTGATGTGATCTGACCTGTGTTTTAACAAGGTGGTTGTTGGAGAACAGTAGGTAGAAAAGAAAGGGTAAAGCAGTGTAGAGGAGAAAAAACTTTGCTTGCATCCTCTGTGGGGTTAGTGGTTAGGCCTCCTCTGTTGGGGGCCTACAAATTAAAGTGAAGAAAGATTAGCGAGAGAAAAAAGAACTGTGTACACATGCAAAACACATACTTGCAGGATGTTATTCATCATTCGGTGATGAATAACTCAAAGAGATGGTTAGAAAATAGGGCTTATTATATACCTTACTTAATAGGGGAAAAGAAAAGGGCTTCTAGTTAGGAAGAACAAACAGGAGATAAGAAAGTTTGTGATAATCCTTGTTTATGTGGGTGCATAGGTCTTTTGTCTTTTTCATGTCCATAAAACTCTCTTGGAAAGAGAATTTACGGCAGCCTCACATCCGAGAAGTTGCTGCTTTTAAGCCAGATGAGGAAAGCTCCAAGAAGCCTTTTTTCCCTGTATCTGTTGAATCTCAAACGTCTTCATCTTAAAATAATCTTTATACCAACTCTGGGTTCTGATTGGGTGGCTACAACAGTGAGACAGGAGCCATTGTATTTAATCCAGGTGAAAGATGATAGTAGTGGCTTGGACCAACATGATAGCTAAGGATGCTAAGAAAGTGGTCAGATTCTGGATATGTTTTATTTTATTATTAATTATATTATATTATATTATATTATATTATATTATATTTATTTTCTTGAAAATTAAGTAGGCTCCATACCAGACATGGGCCTTGAATTCACCACCCTGAGATCAAGAGTCATGTGCCCTACCAGCTGAGCCAGCAAGGTGCCCCAGATTCTGGATATATTTTGAGGATAAAGCTGATGTGCTGACAGACTGGATGAGAGTTTTGGAAAAAGGAAGAACGTCAAGGATGACCAAGGTTTTGGGCCTGAGTAAGAATAGAATTGTTACTTACTGAGATAGGGAAGTAACGTAACATATAGTAGGACAGCTCTGTTCCACAGATTGCAAGAGATGTAATAGTAGGTGGTCCCTCCTAAGGGCACTTACATTTTCGTGATATTTATAAACAAGTAAGTGGTATATTCATTTGCTAGGGTAGATTAAAAAAAAAAAATACCACAAACTGGGTGGCTCAAGCAACAGAAGTTTGTTGTCTCTCAGTTTCTGGAGGATAGAAGTCCAAGGTTAAGGTGTCAGCAGGGTTGGCTCCTGAGGGTGATGAGGGAGAATCTGTTCCATGCTTCTTCCCCAGTTCCTGGTGGTTTGCTAGCAGTCTTTGATATTCCTTGCCTTTGTCTTCACTTGGTGTTTTCCCTGTGCTGCATGTTTGTGCCCAAATTTCTCCTTTTTATGACACCAGTCATTTTTAATTAGGTGCCCCCTCTTCTCCAGTATAACATCATTTTAGCTAATTACATCTGCAATGACCCTATTTCCAAATAAGGTCACACTCTCTGGTACTTGGGATCAGGACTTCAACATATGAATTTGTGGGGTTGGGGGGGGGGACACAGTTCAACCCATAACAAACAGTAGGCAGTTATTACGAGATTATTTAATAGGCCATGAAATAAATAGCTAAAGAGAGTTAGGAGTGTGAGAATGCAGACAAAATAAACATGAAGCAATTAGTGTCATTGTTTTTGGCTGTAAAACCTCTGTTTCTGTCTGCAGCCAGCTATAGACCTCTATTACGGTCTTTTGGCCCAGTTTGTAGTTAAGAATTGGAGACTGAAGCCGGGTGATCAATTTACCATGGCTGCTGCGGTTACAGATGTTAACGGCTACCATGATATATCGAGAGCCTGTGCTGTGCCAGGCGTTATGCCAGGTGCTGTAGATTCCTGACACTAGGTTGTTCTTCACACAGTAACCATTCAGGTGGTGTTAAGGCCCATTTTTACAGAGGAGAAAACTGGGCTTTTAAGAAGCTTAGCATCTTGCTCCAAATCACACAAAACCATGGTGAAGTCCACCCAAGGTACCATCTATAAAAGTAAAGACTGGGACCATACTGTGAGGCCAGCATCCCCCATTATTTACATCTGCTGCTTCTGCTGATGATTCTGACTTAGCCTGCCTTTGTAATGTCACTTAATGTCATCTGTGAAAGCAATTGAAGCACTTTCCTAGTTAAGCTTACATAAAAACAACTCAGATTATTCAGAACAATTCATCTGAAATGCTCACCAGAGAGCCAGGTTACTCTCTTTTTTCAATTGAGGTAAAATTCACATAACATAAAATTAACCATTTCTAAGTGTACAATTCAGTGGCATTTAGTACATTCACAGTGTTAGGCTGTCATTGCTGTCATCACATTTGTGTAGTTCCAGAACATTTTCATCTCCTTGAAAAGAAGCCTGATTCCCATTAAGCAGTCACTCTCTATCCCGTCTCCCTCCTCCTCCAACCTTTAATGCTTTCTGTCTTGGGATTTACTTATTTTGGATATTTCATATAAATGAAATGCAATATGTGGCCTTTTGGGTCTGGCTTCTTTCACTTAGCATGATGTTTTCTAGGTTCACCCATGTTGTACCATGTATCAGTACTTAGTTCATTTTGATGACTGAATAATATTCCATTGTGTGGCTGTACCACATTTTATGTATCCATTCGTCAATTGATGGGCATTTGGGTTGTTTCTACCTTTCGGCAACTATAAATAGTGCTGCTTTGAACTTTCATGTACAAGCTTTTGTTTGAATACCTGTTTCAGTTCTTTTGGGTGTATGTTTAGGAGAGGAATTGCCGCGTCAAATGGTGATTTTAGTGTTTAACTTTTTTGAGGAATCTCCACGTTACTCTTAAATTGAGCTAAACAGCTCTTTATCATCATTTGTAAAGGTTTCCATATAATGTTGTTTGATGCTATAATACCAGATTTGGTAACTAGGATTCCTTATATGGCAAGTGGAGTTAGGTTTTTATATTGTTTTTAAATAAAATATGCTCTCTTTGTGAATATAAGTGACATTTATTGGGCTCTTAGTATGTTTTAGGCCCTGTGTTGAGTACTCATTTAATACAGCAATGTCTGAGGGAGGAAGATTCCGTTATTCAGTCTATTTAGCAGATGGAGAAATAAGCTTTGCTTATGTAACTTGCTGAGTTAGAGTGACAAATAATATTGCCTCCAGAACCCATGCTTTTTTTTTTTTTTTTTTTTAAGTCGGCTCCACACCCAGCATAGAGCCCACTGTGGGGTTTTAATTCATGACTGTGAGATCAAGACCTGAGCCAAAATCAAGAGTCAGACACTCAATTGACTGAGCCACCCAGGCGCCCCCAGAACCCATGCTTTTAACCACTTTCTCCCACCCATAACTTTCTCAGTTACAGCCATCAAAGCCTGGTTGGCCTCATCTTCTACTCTGTGACCCTTACGACATGAAGGAACCCCCTGACAAGGTCTCAGACGGCTGTGGTGTGCTTCTTACAGGTTCCCTGCCTTTGCAGCGGCGCATCGTGCCTGCTGTGTAGTTGCTGCCCCAATAGTAAGAATTCCACGGTGACTCGCCTCATCTATGCTTTCATTCTCTTCCTGGGCGCTGCTGTATCCTGTATCATGCTGACAGAAGGGATGGAATCACAGCTGAAGAAGGTAAGTAGAAGGAACAGTAGCCTTAATATACGGGTCATTCGTATTATTTTTCTGTTTTGCACAATTTTAGTTGTAATTAACATTCTTATTTCTTTACCATTGTAAAACTCAGTCGAGTTCATTGTAATTGTTGGGTTTTTAAATTACTTTTGGGTACAGTCTAGACAGAGAATATGAGAGTGTTGGTCCTTTTCCAGAAATCAAGGTACTCAGAATGAACATGTTCATGGTGTACTCTAACAACTGAGAGAAAGATATTGAAAGAGTGGCACGAAAACATTGTCTTCCCATGTATGTTCCAGATTTAAACATTTGACCTAGACTAGCCCTTCACCTGCGGAAGGAATCAGTTGTAGCATGAAAATTCATGGCAAGATGGGAGATAACCTCATCAGCAAGAAAAGCAAAGAAGAGAACACTTCACTTTTATTTGCAAAATGCAAATTGTTTATATTATTTGGTGACAAGATTGTAAGCGAACGGGAAGGCAAAGAGAAAAGTCCCTCAGGACAGTCTTGCAGTTGTTGAAGTAGTCAGTTGTATAAATTCAGGCTTTCTTATGGGATAGAATCTTTGTTTAAATGTGGATATTCCCATAACATTGAAATTGCTTTTTCCAGATTCCTGGATTCTGTGAAGGGGGGTTTAAAATCAATGTGGCTGATAGAAAGGTGGATAAAGATTGTGATGTTCTGGTCGGTTATAAAGCTGTATATCGGATCAACTTTGCCATGGCCATCTTTTTCTTTGTCTTCTCTCTGCTCATGTTAAAAGTAAAAACAAGTAAAGATCCCAGAGCAGCAGTACACAATGGGTATGTAAATTTATTTTATTATTTATTTGTTATATTATGGTGTGGATCCTCCCCTTGAACAGTTCATGTTGCCATTCTGATGGAAGCAGTAGAGTATTTGAATCAGTGGCCCACATGTATTTCTGACCTATTGTACTTGTGAAGTTGTTTCAATGTCATTTTCAGTTGGAGTTCTGTAGCACAGAGTGGGTGAAGGGGAAGAGGAGAATCTTGTCTTTTTTTTTAAAACCTTTGTTTCAAGTTCCTAAATTTTTATCAGACACCTGCGAAACAGTTCAGGGATTGTGCTAGGCACTGCATACACACAAACATGCATACTTTTTATTGTTAAAAGATAAAAATATACCTGATCTATTAAACAGTGTACTGAAAGATAAACTAGATATATTTGGGCCACTGATTTACAAATATATTGTTTCCCATTCCTGACTGCCCCCAGTTCCCCTTTGACATATAATTCTTATTTGAAAACTGAAGGGAGTTTGTACACTTTATGTGTATTATAATCCTCTTTTTATAGATGCAGTAACCGAATTTCAGAAAGGTTAAATAAAGTGCCTGAGATCTCTGAGCCAGTGAGAGTTGGAGTTGGGATTGAAACTCAGGTTTGTCCAGCTCCAAAGCCTGATTCTTTCCACGCTGCCATACAAGGCAGTCTTTAAAGATCATGGACTGAAAGCCAGGTTTGGTCTTAGCTTTGCCAGTGATGAACTGTGTGATTGTGGGCACAAGGCACTTATGTCTTATGTTGTGAAAGAAGGATTAGGTGATAACTTTTCCCTAGATCCAATAGTTAATTGCTTTATGTGTAGCTAACATTGTTAGTTTAGAATACTCCAGAATTGTAGAAAAATTCCTGTCTTTAATTGCTAAATGTAAGGAAATTCTTAAGTTGTATGTTTTTCTCTTATTATATCTATGAATTATTTGTTCTCTGGGCTAGTGTTTGTCCTTAAATTGTGTGAAAGATTGAGTGAAGCAGCTTCATGTCAAAAGAAATAAGCACAGACGATCATGTTGGGAATGCTACTGAGTCCTTATTTTTGCATTTCAGAAATTCACTTTTCTCAGTATAAGGGCAAAAATTAACATTTCATAAATGCACTTTTATATTTTAATAGGTTTTGGTTCTTCAAAATTGCTGCCATTGTTGGTATCATGGTTGGCTCTTTCTACATCCCTGGGGGCCATTTCACCACAGGTATGGCTCACTACTAAGAGGGTTAATTATAATATATACACACTCTACAAATGATGGACTTGAAGCTACATTTTCTTTTTTTTTTTTTAAAGATTTTATTTATTTATTTGAGAGCTAGAGAATGAGAGATAGAGAGCACGAGAGGGAAGAGGGTCAGAGGGAGAAGCAGACTCCCCGCTGAGCAGGGAGCCCTATGTGGGACTCGATCCTGGGACTCCAGGAGCATGACCTGAGCCGAAGGCAGTCGCTTAACCAACTGAGCCACCCAGGCGCCCGAAGCTACATTTTCATTACTAGTTTTGCCAGAACTGACAATTAAATGAGGTGGTATTCAATTTTATGACTTTGTAGTAATATTAAGGTAGTAATTAATTGATTAAACCCAGGAGGCATTCAGCCCATTTTTCAGCTGTTCTGGAACGATATGTTGCCAATATTTTAATAGTTTACCTTCTCACTTGGGCAGTACTAAGTTAATCTGAGAGCTTGTCAACATAGGGACCTGTACCTCATATGTGTTCTGCTGTCCCTGCCTTAATATGCTTTCTTACCATAACATCAAGTGACATCTGTGGATTTCCACTGTGATTTTTTTCCCTTATAAAGGAAAAGGCTTGTTTGTACCATTTGGAATGTCAAATCCCAGGCTCCCCTTGGCACAAGCTAGAACAAATTTTAAAAGGTCTGAAGCCCAACAAAACACTTCTTAGAGAATGCCTTTGAGTTTAAAATTGGAATAATCTTTTGCTGTACTGCTGGAGACAGAATATGTCTTTACCACCTATCTCTTACTTGAATTGAAATTGTTTTAAAATTGGATAGTAACATTCTGAAATGTTACTCCTTTGGTAAGAATAACTTTGTTCTTTTGGTTTGTAGCCTGGTTTATTGTCGGCATGGTAGGGGCCTTTTTGTTCATCCTTATCCAGCTAGTGCTGTTGGTCGACTTTGCTCACTCTTGGAATGAATCATGGGTAAATCGAATGGAAGAAGGAAATCCAAGGTGCTGGTATGCTGGTAGGTATCTAAACTCACCTATAAAAGCCATACTGCATTATGCTATATTAAACAGGATGTACAATAAAAATCTCCATTGATTTAAATGTGTAAACTTCCAAATTAGAGCTGACTTTTTAAAAACTCTACTTTCCCAGTTGATTCAGTTCTGAATTATATGCGTTACTGGAAGGGGAGAGCACAGATAATAGAAATCATTGGCTTCTCTCAATTCATTTATTTTGAGATTTGTAATGTAACTAGATATGTTTAGATAAGAAAAAACTGTTGTGTTTAATGATGTAGTTCTGGTTTTGATTTCCTTGTTTCCACGGACAGGGGGCTCAGGTGGATTATACATATGGGTCATGTGTCCACATCCCTCAAGCAGATAAAAGTGAACAGTCCTTACTGCTTTATTCAGAGTATGGCCCACACCCCTTGTAAAAGCTTTCTGGTGGAAAAGGGGCACTTAACATTTCTAGGGTGGAAATAGGACTCATCGCTGGTAATAATGGGGAGGGACTTTGTAATCCTCTACTTATTAGGGGCAATGACGCAGCCTTACCTCATTTAAAAAAATAGTTGTTGAAATTCCTAGCCCCTGCACCCCACCCATTATAAAAGTAATAGCTACTCTTATGTCAAGAACTTGAACAACCAAAAATTACAGAAGAAAACAAATCCCCCATTATCCAATTCTTTAGTAATTAATACTCACTGTTAACATATTAGTCTATATCTTTCCAGTCTTTTTTCTTGCGTATGTATCTTCTATGTATAGAAAAAGAGTCATTGAAAAAGATGTGTACTTGTATCTTACTAATTTTTTACATGTGTCATACATTTGGATAGCTTATAGTTTGACTTTTTTTAAAACCTAGAAGTAGCCTGTGAATATGTGGCTACAGTGCAGCAGTAAATACCTAATAATATATCTCTGAGCACATTTCTGCTTTTATCCTTAGAATAAATTCCTAGAAGTAGAAGAGTGGAAGGGTATGGATATTTTAAAGGCTTTTAGTACGCATTATCAAACTGTCCGGTTTTCTTTTCATGTTATTTATCTAGCTTGCTTTTTAAATAATAACAAAAGCAAAACCAAAAAAACCCCTGAAAACGGATACTATGTTCACCATAAACACAGTTGATGGAACTTAGTAAAAAATAAACATGCAAATCTCCACCCACTTGCAACCCACTTTCCTCTCCAGATGTAACCACAATTACTGGATCTTTATGTATTTGTGCACATATACATGTTTTGTTATTTAAATGTAAATAGATTCATATTAGGTATTGTTCCATGACTTGCTTTTCTCACCAACTATATAATGAGTATTTTCTAACATATATCTTATAGATACATCTTATTTACTTAATGGTATACAATTCCATGGTGTTCCATGGTGTGGTATACCATAAGTTGTTTAACCATTGCCGTATTTTGTTGGCCACTTCAGTTGTGTGTAATGACTGTTGTAGCCTGAGATTTAAGAAATTGTTTTATCATGATGGATTGGAAATCCTGAAACACCTCCCCATTTCTGACTGATAAAAATTTATTTTTATTTTATCTATTTACTTCCTTTTTATATAATTCATTTGAATCACTCAACTTTAGAAGAATTTAATAATGAGTTGCAGATTTGTTATTCTTTGGAGTAACTAAGAAGTAGAGAAATCTTGCATATTCATATGGAAAAACATTAAGAACTGTGCTAGTACTTTAACATATGTTATCATTTTATAGTGACATCATATACATCACTTAATTTTAAATATGCAGAACCCATGGAGATTATAAGTAAAAACTGGTTTTCTTAAATAAGTGTGCCATGAATTAAGTACAAGTTAATTGAGCTCACCATTGCTACAGTTGGTCTGAGTATACTGTTACTCTTTTATGTTTTCTAATTTTCAGAGTTACATAGCTAATTGTTGATTATCCATGTGAACAGAAAGGAATATTATTTTAGGTTTTTGAGAATAGCAAATATGCCACTTTCCCACAGTGATGTGGTCTCATCAGACAGGAAGCGGGTTTATATAGCCAGTGGCTGCAGAGGACAGATGTCATAAAAGATGCCTGTCTGTTGTTTCTGCTGACACCATCCCTGGCATTTAGCTTGCTGACACTGGGCCAGTTGGAGGGCCCACAAGTTTTGCAAGTTCCTAGGAAAAGCTTATAATGCACATTGTTTAGCATACAGTTAGAGTTCAGTGTAGCTGGAATGATCTAATGTCTGGTTTTTCAACCCATGGAATCAAGGTAGGTAATCTGGAAAGTGAATCCGGTTGCTTGAATTTAACACCGAGCCATCTCTAACGCTGTCTGACCTTGGGTCTTCTGTAATTTCCCTGTAAAATGTTGACTACCGTAACAGTAACACAATGTGTCTTTATTTTTATATGGAGTAGAAGAAAATTGGTCTTCAGTAGAGAAGTTTGTTACAGTTGTGAGCATTCCTGTTGGTTTCCCTCTTTCTAGCTTTGCTCTCTGTCACCAGCGTCTGCTACATTCTGTCAGTTGTCTTTGTCAGCTTGCTCTACACATACTACACCAGACCGGACGGCTGCACAGAGAACAAGTTCTTCATCAGTATTAACTTGGTCCTTTGCTTTGTGGTTTCTATTATATCCATCCATCCAAAAATTCAGGTATGGTGTGCTGCTTTTTCCTACTGTGAAAAATTTGTAATTAATCCTAAACTGATGTAACCTTTTATATGAGTTTATGTTTATCTACTTAAACATTTTCCCATATTATGATAAATTCTTCATAATTCTAATTTAGTAACTGTAAAATGTGCCATTGAGTGCCTGTATCATAATTCAGTGGATAATTTCCCTATCGTTAAAAAAAACCTAGGTAACCTGAGAATTTTATAGCTGTTATAAAATAGTTTATGTTGTGAGAATGAGTCTTATAAATCATTAGCCAAGCTGTTTTAGGGGGATTAAACTAGAAAATCGTTGCTTTTAATATTTAAAAACAAAACTCATGCATGTGAGTTTCATCATTTAAATACAAAAATTCATGGAGGTCTTTTTTTTAATTTTCTTTTTAAGATTTTATTTATTTGAGAGGGAGAGTGGGCATGAGCTGAGGGAAGGGCAGAAAGAAAGGGAGAAGCAGGCTCCCCGCTGAGCAGCAAGTGATGCCAGGCTTGATCCCAGGACCCTGGAATCATGACCTGAGCCAAAGGCAGACGCTTAACTGACTGAACCACCCAGGCGCCCCAATTCATGAAGTTTTATGTGAGAAATACGAAAAGAGTATGTAGCTATCACCTCTCCTTTCAAAAATGAGAAAACTGAAGTTCCAGAGAGATGATGGGTCACCTAACTAGTTAGCGCTGCCATTGAGCTTAGCTTCTACGACAGCAAGGGACTAGGAAATCAGCCTCTGCGGGATACGTGGGATTCCGAGGCTGTCAAATGCCTCGAGAACCAGTAGTACACGGTCCTCTTTCTTGGTTCTTTCTCAGGCTAACTCAGACTGAAAGGTTACTTGTCCTCTTTCAGCTGTCAAATAGAATCAGAAGGTTCTCCATTAATAACATTTCAGGGGGACCCAGGGGAATCCACTGGGCTTTAGAAAGTCAGCCCTTGCAGTTCCTGGGGCTTGTTTTCTGTTTGATTCTACAGGAACACCAGCCCCGGTCTGGTCTCCTGCAGTCCTCTCTCATCACCCTCTACACCATGTACCTCACCTGGTCAGCCATGTCCAATGAACCCGGTAAGGGGATGTCAAGAGCACATTCATTTGATGGAGAGAAAGTAGGCAATTACTCCTTTGGCAGGTGCAAACACTAGAGGTAGAGCAAATGTCAAACAGGCAAACAGCCTCACTTAAATGTACAGTGCTCACCGTATGGTACAGATACTCAACATTTCAAGTTTTATTCTCCATGTCTGTCCGTAGCTATTCATAGCTGACAGCCTAAAGGACCACAGTCCTTAAACAGTCTAGGCTTTTCCCTGGACTAAGTCAGACTAGTTAAGAGTTGGACAAGGCAACATTGTTTTGGCCCTTTGTGGCATTGTTGTAATTGAATTTCACTTTGGTGTTACAGGCTCTAGACAAAAAAACTAAAAAAAAAAAAAACAAAGAAATTTCCTTTTATAATGACTGCATTGTGTCTCACTCAATAGGGTATTTTCTGGACTTGTTTCAAAATGGTTATTGCAGACCCTCCACCGATGACTCACTTAACTGTTAGTGTACTCCAATTTAACTGTACAAACACACTAGGGAAAAATTTTCTGTGCTTAAAGCCTTTGTACAACTACAGACCCAAAAAGATGTGCCAGTTAAACTTCAAAATCAGTAAAATCAAGATTGACATTTATGAATTTGACAGATACTTTGTTGTTGTGTCTTTTCTTTTTTTCTAAAACTAAGTCACTGATTGCCACACAAATATGTAACTAATTGCTAAGCTTCCAGGTTCTTTTAAGTATGATGTAAAACATTCCCATGTTTTACATCATGACTGAGTGATGTGTGAGCACTTCCCTCACATCCTTTCTTGGAACAAGAGGAATTCTAACTAAGGATAATAAAAAATTTTACACTTTCAGATCGTTCCTGCAACCCTGGCCTGTGGAGCATCGTTAAGCACATGACTGCACCAACCTTGGCTCCTGGAAATTCAACTGCTGTAGTCCCTACCCCTGCTCCACCCTCAAAGAGTGGGCATTTTTTAGATCTAGAGAATTTTATTGGGCTGACAGGCTTTGTTCTCTGCCTTTTGTATTCTAGGTAAGTTAAAAAATACTTGCGACAAGATTCTCATGAAGGTTAGTCATAGAGGAAAGAAGCTATTTTGCTTTCAAAAAGCAGTGTGAGGAATTAAAAACAACTCTTCTTTATTGAAAGTCCTCGACTTTCTTCATTCCCTAGCCATGTATATTTCTTAAAGCCTAGTAAATCCTCTTATCAAATAATTCCTTCCAAACTGACATAGAGATACCTTCTCCTTGGATAGGAGGATAAAGTCTTCACCTGACCCTAGATCAGCTAGAGTAGTGGCTCTGAAAATTGGTTAGTTTCTCTTTTTTTGTAAGAAAATCTTAATTTCCTGATCATTGTAAAAAATATTTAAAGAACTACAGAATTCTATACATCTAATTTTAAAATCACTAGTTAATCCAGGGGCTCAGATAGAACCTATGTTAGCACTTTGCATTCATCCTCCTACCTGTTTTTTATTGATATTTTCTATATAATAGCATATATTACTTTAATAATTTAAAAATATGAACTAAAAATGGGCAAGGATATATTTATATAAATTAATAATATAAATGAGGTAGTGTAAAGTGGGAAATGAAAGTATCCTCCCTCCAAATTTACCTCTTCCATGATTAAACGTTTTGGTACATAATATTTTATGCTTTTTTCCTTTGCTTATACCTATCTTATCTACAATCTATTTGTATCTATATAATTGTACATAATTTTATTTATGTCACTTGATAATTTTTATAAATAAATTAGGAATGTACTCTGTAAATACGCACAGTATTCTCAAATATGAAATTGTCATAATTTGAACAGCTTCCACAGTATGTGTAAATTTATCTTTTTTTTTTTTTTTTATGATTGTTTAAAATAAGGGTTGGCAAACTACAGCCCTGGGGCTGACTGCCTGTTTTTGTAAATAGAGTTGTATTAGAACACAGCTATGCTTATGTGTTTTATATTGTCTGTGACTTTTGTTTGTTTTGCTTTTGGCCTAATATGTTTTGTTTAGTTTTTGAGATACAATTTCCATACTATAAAATTCACCCTTTTAAAGTGTACAATTCAGGGGCGCCTGGGTGGCTCAGTCGTTAAGCGTCTGCCTTTGGCTCAGGTCATGATCCCAGGGTTCTGGGATTGAGCCCCGCATCAGGCTCCCTGCTCCGCAGGAAGCCTGCTTCTCCCTCTCCCACTCCCCCTGCTTGTGTTCCCTCTCTCGCTATATCTCCTTCTGTCAAATAAATAAATAAAATCTTTAAAAAAATAAAGTGTACAATTCAGGATTGTGCAACCATCACCTCAGTCCATTTTAGAAGATTTTCTTTTGCCAAAAAGAAACCTCATGCTCATTAGCAATCACCTCCCTATTCCTTCCTGCTGCAACCACTGGCAGAAACTTACCTCCTTTATCTGTGTAAATTTGCTTATTCAAATGTTTCATATATGTGGAATCATAAAATATATGATCTTTTGTGACTGGCTTCTTTCACTTAGTATGTTTTCAAGGTTCATCCATGTTAATGACATATCAGTACTTAATTCCTTTTTATTGTTGGAAATGATACTCCGTTGTGTTTATATATACCACATTTTTTAATCCTTCATCAGTTGATGGAAATTTGGGTTGATTCCACTGTGGAACTATCATGAATAATGCTGCTATGAATATTTGTGTACAGGTTTTTTTGTGTGGATGTACATTTTCAATTCTCTTGGATTTGTACCTAGTTGTAGAATTGCTAGGCTATGTGGTACCTCTTTGTTTACCTTTTTTGAGAACTGCAAAAGTGTTTTCCGAAGTGGCTACATCATCTTACAATCCCACCAGCAATGTATGAAGCTTCCAGTTTCATTACCTCTTAATCATTACATCTTAATTGTCTTTTATTGTAGCCATTCTAGAGAATGTGAAGTGGCATTTCATTATGGTTTTGATTTCCACTTCCCTCATGACTGATGACGTTGAGCGTTCTTTTCATGTGCTTATTAGCCATTTGTGTATCTTGAAGAAATGTCTATTTAAATCTTTTGCCTATTTTTAAATTGGGCTGTCTTATTGTTTTTGTATATCGCTTGAGGTAAGGGGTCCAACTTAATTCCATTGTGTGTGGATTATCTAGTTGTCTCAGCACTGTTTGTTAAAAAGACTATTTTTCCCCCATTGAGTTGTCCTGGCATCCTTGTCAAAAATCAGTTCACCATAAATGTAATGGTTTATTTCTGGACTCGTAACTATTTCATTGATCTGTATAGCTATCCTTATGCCAGTGCGACACTGTTTTGATTACTGTAGTGTTGTAGTAAGTTTTGAAATCGGGAAGTATGAGTCATCCAGATTTGTTCTTTTTCAAGATTGTTTTGGTTATTTCGAGTCCCTTGCATTTCTGTGTAAATTTTGGGTTTTGCTTGTCAGTTTGAGATTTTGATAAGGATTGCATTGAATCTGTTTGTCATCTTGGAGAGTATTACTATCTCAACACTATCAAGGCTTCTGGTTCGTAACATAGGATGTTTCATTTAGGTCTTCAGTTTCTTTCAGTGGTTTATAGTTATTAGTGTACAAGTCTTAAACATATTTTATTAAATTTCTAAGTGTTATTTTTGACAGTATTATAAGTGAGATTGTTTTCTTAATTTATCTTTTAGGTTTTTCATTGTTACTATATAGACATAGAATTTTTGTATATTGATCTTGTATTCTGCAGGATCATTTATTGATTTTAATAGCGTGTATATTCCTTAAGATTTTCCACGTATAAGGTCAGGTTATCTGCAGATAGAGATCATTTTACTTCTTTTCCAATCTGGATGCCTTTTATCTTTTCCTTTCCTAATTGCTCTGGCTTGAACCTCCAGTACAATTTTGAACAGAAATGGTGACAGTGGACTACTTGTCTTACGCTTGATCTTGGGGAAAGCTTTTAGTCTTTCACTATTAAGTATGATGTCAGCTCTGGGTTTTTCATAGATGCCCTTTATATTTGAAGAAGTTCTCCTCCATTCCTAGGTTGAGTGTTTTTATCAGGAAAAAGTATTAGATTTTGGTCAAGTGCTTTTTCTTTATATGTTGAGATGATCATGTGGTTCTTGTCCTTTAGTTGTATGTACTTTTCTATTCAGTCACTTAACAAACTTGCAGTGAGCATCTGCTGTATGCTCGAAATGCATAGAGGACTACGGTCATTGTTGAGGAGTTCTAGGACTAGCAAGAAAGACAGGAATGGTAAGTGCTATGGCAGAGGGAAGCAGAAGGAGCTGTGGGATTTTAAACTAGCCTAGTGATGACTTGATGTCAGAGAACGCTTTCTAGAAGACATGGCACATAGAGAATTAAAAAATGAAGCTAGCTGGGAGAAGGCTGGTGGGTGGTCCATTCCAAGCATGGAAGAAGCTCTTGTGAAGTCATGGAAGCAGACTTTGAGAGCATGATGAAACTCCTAAGCAGTTAACCACGTGGTAACTGATGAGCGTGCTCTCTGTCTTGTGATGACAGCAGTTGAGAACTTGAAGCAGAGCCCTTCAGATGGCCTTCTGTCCCCAAATAGGGGCAGTTCAGAAATAACCTGCATGTATATAGGCCAATGGCAGCAATTCATCCCATGGCCCCTTTCTGATTTGTCTTCTTTCGGATCACTTTCCAGCATCCGCACTTCCAACAATAGCCAGGTAAGTAAGCTGACCTTGTCGGGAAGTGACAGCGTGATCCTCCGTGATACGGCTGCCAACGGTGGCAGTGATGAAGAAGACGGACAGCCTCGGCGGGCTGTGGACAACGAGAAGGAAGGAGTGCAGTACAGCTACTTCTTATTCCACTTCATGCTGTCCTTGGCTTCCTTGTACATCATGATGACCCTGACCGGCTGGTACAGGTAGGAGGCATAGACAAACCGGATGGAAGACCACTTGGCCCCCCTTGCTGCCTGTAAAATCTCCATCCATTGCTCAACCTCGGAATCCCCTTCCCTTACCCATACAATGAAGTTGTGTTCAGTGCTGACTCTTTTCTGAAATACTTTTGACTTTTTTCTCCTCTTGGATTTAAAATCCAGTTGGAATTCTTACAGTACGAATCATAGAGAGTTCTTCCAGACTTGAGTTACTTAAGAGAGAAAATCATAACATAAAGCAGTCGGACCCATCTCTGTTCACTAATTTTCCTCTGTGTCTAGAGATGGCCATTTAGAGTATTCTGATCAAAGTAATGGTGTGATAAAGAAGGAAAGTTTCAGGGACTCTATTTCAATCTAGACTTTTGCCAGTATCTAGAACAGCTAGGTGTTCCTGAAGAACTTTGCCCAGCACGTACAGTAGTCAGAGTTCTTCATGCTGACAAGAGAAAAGCTTCTTGAAGGCAGAGTCCCCTGCACGTAAGAACTAATAATAGCAGCTTTCACACGTTCCTTCTAGAACCTTACTAGAGCGTAGTGTTAGCCAGGTTTCTTGGCTTTGGCTGGGGGTGCTGCTGGATGCTGGTGACAGGCTCTTTTACCTTCTTCTGTTTTCTTAGCCCTGATGCAGAGTTCCAGAGCATGACCAGCAAGTGGCCAGCTGTGTGGGTCAAGATCAGCTCCAGCTGGGTCTGCCTCCTCCTCTATGTCTGGACCCTTGTGGCTCCACTTGTCCTCACCAATCGTGACTTCAGCTGAGCCTCTGAGAATTCATAAAGGTCTGCTTTGCCAAAAGCCCATATCTGTTTTACTTTTGCTTCAACTAAAATACTAAGTGAACGCTTTGCAAATGTGACTATATCCAAGTTTATATCAGAGAGCAAGATTACATAATGCTTGATGCAGGATCTGAACTTTTCATTTATATGTATATTACGTTTATTTGTAAAGATATAGCGCGAAGGGAACATTTTGCGTTTTAAAGTGAACTACAGCTGTGCTGTGAAGAGAGTTCTTTATTAAGATCTGTAGGATCCTACAACTTTGATTTAAAATGTAAGAAAAATGTTGGTTATTTGAGGCCAATCGTTAATATATTTCTATTGCAGTCTCCTTATAAAGCAAAAAACAAAACCCACCATTTCTATGACAGGTTTTCTCTGTGAAAGTCTTTATTTGTGTGATGCAAGCAAGCAGTGTGTTCAGCCCTTCATCCCCCACGAGGTGTGGCATTGGAGTTCTTGGGGGGAGGGGTGCATGCCTCTGGCTCCTTTCCCAGACGGGCAGGGTGGCTGACCCGGCTAACTGCTTCTGCAGCTTGGGTTAGTTCGTTCGGTGGTGGACGCTAGAGCAGTGATGCCTAAAGCAGCTGCAGCTTTGCCAGAAGTGTTCGTCTCCATAGCGCTTTGTAGGTTTGGCGAAAATGAAGTCACTTGGGAAAACAGTGCCACTTTAGTCTTTATGTCATTATCTTGTTATGAGTATGTAAAAGTAAAATGCATGTGAATTTATTATATTTGCACTATAAAGGTATTTGATTAAAATAGAGACTTAAGCTTTTAAGGCCCTTTCTTTTACAGCTTTTATGAGTTAGCAGCCATCCTATAATTTTTAGACATATGTGGGCTGTCAGGTTTATCAGGCATTGAGCAGAATGCGCCTGTCTCTTCTAAAACTTGAGGCCTGGCTAGTAAGTCAAGTCTTGAACTCATCCAAAAATTGTACTGATAATATCTTTCCTGGGTAAGACACTTGTGTAGATGAGACACAAGGCAGGCGCTGTCAGGCAACTTCTTCAGGAGAGGTAGCACACAGGAATGTCGACTAGAACAGTTCGTTCTTTCAGCACACATTTACTGAGTGTCTGTTCTGTACCAGGCCCTGTCACATTCGGGGATCCAACGTTAAACATGACAAGACACCAGCTCTGCCATCTTGGACTTAGAGTTTAGAGGAGGGTGAAAATGAGCTGACAGGTGTACAGGCGCTGGGATGAGTGCTTGTGATTGAGGAATTGCAGCGAACTCAGGGGAGTTGCCTGGGGTCAGGGTGGGGGGTTGTCCTGGTAGGGCTTCCTGGAAAAAGTGGAGTTGGAGGCCAGGAATTGTTAGGAGTTAGCCGAGAGAGAAACGGGGTAAAGGGCCGGCATTGCTGCAGGGTAGACAAAACTTCATGTTAAAGGAAGGGAGATGCAGACTTGTTCAGGAAAGCTGGAATGGGAAGAAGAGGGCAGGGACTGGGTCACAAAGGGCTTTGCAAACCACACTGAAGAGTTTGAACCTTACTTGAGAGCAGGAGGGAGCATATTCATAGTGACATGAACGAACAGTCTTCAGTCACTGCAGCTGACGCGCAGAGAGGCATTTAGAGAAGAGACCAGGGCAGGCCATACGCCATTTCAAACAGAGAAGTGAAAGTGAGGATGGGGAGAAACTGACAGCTGAGAGCTACTTAGTAATTAAAATTTAAAAACTGGCAATTGATTAGCTCTCAGGGAGAGGCCGATTCCTGAGTGCTGCTGGTTTCATCACCTGAGTTGATGGGGGTTCCATTTATATGGGGAGAGACAGGAAGAGGAACACATTGTACAGGAAGAATGGGGTTGGTCCCTTAAGAATGTCTAAGAACAGCTAAGGACATGGGCTTGGAAGTCAAGACTGGGTTTGTATCCGCATTGCTTTTTTTGTCTGTCAAACTGGTCGGCTAATAGCTCTTGAGTACATGACCTTGGGCAGATGACTATCTGTGTGACCATCTGTCTGAGCCTCAATGTTTTCCTCGTTTGAATAAAAGATAGTACCCAGTACGTATTGTTTAAAGTTACTTTGCAAAGTGCTTAACCCGTTTTAAACACTCTGGTGGTAACTGCTAATCTCACTGTGGGCTAAAATGAGATTAGACGGTATTCAAAGGTCAGAGATGTTCAGCCACAGTCTGATGGAGGCTAGATTTGAGGTGTTCTTACAGAATTAAACAGATGGGACACAGAGGGGACAATCTCAGTTGGGATGGAGGTTGGCGGGGTTGGGGTAAGGAAGCAGGGCTTGATAAGAATCGTTGGAACCACTGTGTTTTAAACCAGTGCTTTATGTCAGGGTACAGAGATAAAGTTACAAGGGAGGTGGGGGGGGCAAATAGGGGAGGTTTAGCCCCTTACTTTGCCAGTGTAAAGCAGACACCCCACTTTCCTTAATAGCAGGGTAGCCAGATTAAGACCTTTAAAGGTCCTAAACTTCAGAAACAATGAAGGTGTGCCATCCCCCACCTTATGTAATGCAAAATAAAACAATACTAAATTGTAAAATAAGTGTAACAAAGTCCAATAGTTTATTTTTTCTCATGATAACTTTGATATTAATTTGAAATAACAAATTTTCTTTGAAAATTAGGGGGCAGTATCCCTGTTTGCTTGACCGTACTCTAAGTTAAGTTGGCTTGTTGCTAGGAAACCCAAGATTACTCAAGACTCAAGCGAACCGTACTCGTGAGTGCTGAATTATACACAGCATAAATAACATCAGCAGGTCGAATAAGCCCAGGATCACACTTGAAAGCAGGAGAGTATTTTGACTCATCAAATAAGTCATCTGGCGTTTCCTCCCCAGGAATGGGCCTGTCTGTCCCTCAGGATTGCAGATGGATGGCCTGGCTCCGAGGCCAGCAGTATGGCCTAGGACTTCATCAGGGGCAACAGCAGTGGCTCCACCTTTACCTGGTTGGAGCTAGCTGGGAGGAGGCTTGCAGGCCCATGTGGCCCCTGCCAGATGTTTGCTCTCTAGACTGGTCTAGCAGGGTACTTGGTTGGGAAATAAAAGCTTCTCTTACCCAGCAAGGAGCCTGCCAAAGAATGGCCATGGACCTGGTTATCGCTGCTATTGATGTTCTGGACCAAGCCGTAAACCAGCACGTGTTTTTGTCCATTACAATTCCTTTTCCTTTTTATGCATTCCAGCAAAAGTGTTCAGTAACATGAGTCATGCTTTTGAGCTCTGCAACCAGAGCTGCTTGCTCGAGTCTTTTCTCCTTTCGTGTTGTTCTATCCATCCTGTACCTTGGAGCCCAAATCAGGCGGCCTGCTCAGTGGCGTCCTCACCACGGCTGAGTGACATGAGCTGCACACAAACTGTCTCCTCAGGTGCAGAATAGTGACCATGAAACAGTGTGTGTGCTGTGAATAGACACTGTCCATGCACCTAGAAGGTGGGGATTCTCCCCCTTCCCCCCCGACAGATCAGACTGCGGCTTAGAGAAGTTAGGGACTTGCCCATAATTGGTAAGAGGCAAAACAGAGAAATAAACCAGGCCTTGAGAGTTCTTTTTTCAATTAGGCCCCATTGTCTCTTGGCATAAGGTGACAGGGCACCAAGATGACTGGAGACGGCTTAGGGACGTGCTGTCAAACTACCCATCAGCAGCAAAGGAAGATTAGGAATCCCCTGAAGACAATGACTAGGGCATTGTATCTCTAATGGCTGGCACCTTACCAGGTAAGAGGGTAAACATTTGGTTAAAACAGTTTGCTTCCAGAAAAGTGGCAACCCTAAAGGATTTTCTTCCTCACCAGCTTTAATGCAGTAGCAGGACACATTTCTGCATCAGTTACAGGCATGCCGGACCAGTGCTATGTGAGGAAGGGGCATCGCGGAAAACAGGTATTTCAGAAAACAAACCAGAAATAACTCCCACGGCTTGTAAAAACTCTGCTGCCCTGGTTGGAGCCAAGAGTCCATTTTTCCAGATGTGAGAAACGGACTGAGTTTTAGGGCCACAGCTTCCTGAGGAAGGCTGACCTCAAGAGCTGGCGTGTTGCGGTGTTAAGAACTTAACCTGCTGCATCATCAAAAGTCAGCGGTAAGTGTATGGACGTCCTGCATGAGACGGTTTCCCAGCTGACTCATCAACACACCGGACCCACCAAGGCACCTAGCTTTTGTCTCCTGTGGAGCAGACCACACGCTCCTGTATAGAAACCAACAGGGAGCAGGTAGAGAAACAGCTAAGCATGCATGGGACCACAGTCGATCAAGCCACACCTAGTTATCCCTTAAGGAGTCTGGGTTTACTTGTGCTTCCAGAATAAAATGTTCAGTTACAGCCTGGGTCTCAGAGGTTAAGAACCTCCGCTTTATATTTTACAAGAAGCCAGAAAACAACCTAATTTTTACACTGTTCCCCTATAAAAAAAATTCTTTCCTCCTTTCCTTCTGTGTCCTGTTGGAGGGTGAATGACAGTAAAAGGCAAACAGTGTGGCTCTGACCATCAGGAGAAAGTGGGCTAGAGTCTGACTACCGGGCTTTGAGGCCCAGCTCCACATTTGACTGTGTGTCCTTGGGCAACCTGCTTAACTTCTCTGGGCCTCATTTCCCCCACAGGAGCAGGAATACTACTTAAGATTAAGTGGGTTATCATGAGAGACGATGGACTCTGAAAAACAAACTGAGGGTTCTAGAGGGGAGGGGGGTGGGGGGATGGGTCAGCCTGGTGATGGGTATTAAGGAGGGCACGTTCTGCGTGGAGCACTGGGTGTTATGCACAAACAATGAATCATGGAACACTACATCAAAAACTAATAATGTAATGTATGGTGATTAACATAATAATAAAAAATTTAAAGAAAAAAAGATTAAGTGGGTTATCTATGTGAAGCACCTAACATAATGGATGCCTAGCCCATACAGGCACTCAGAAATTGTTAGCTATGAGAAAGATTCAAGGCCAGTCTAGAAGGGACAGCTGGGCCTTAAGAACTGAAAAAATTTGCATATTGTCTCTACCACTGTGTATATCAAGTGCCATTCTTTGTATACACTGGTATCTTCTAATTGTGCATGATCTTCAGAGGTGGCCAGCCCCAAATCTATAGGTGCAATGTGTTGCCACAGGGCCTCTCCCTGCCTGACCTGGAGGGAGGCTCTACCTGGGCCATCATGTACCATGAATAATAAAACTTCAGAATCTTTTTCTAAACAGTCACTGTCACAAAAGAACTCCACACATAGCCTTACAGGATTTTTATTAAGACCCAGTCATGCATACTAAAATTACGTTTTCACCACTTTGACGTAGAAAATGCACTAGAAAAATAAACTTTTGGTCAAAACAAACACAAGTAGATGAATCCACCACCACATGTCCATATACTCAAAGCTAAACTGAATTTCAGTTTGAAGCGAGGAATGTGACCAGTGGCTGAAATGGTGCCCCAATCTGGTCAGAAAATCAGCCTGCCTCCCACCCTGTCAGTGTGGGATCAGAGGCTCCTGGCCCCTGAGAGGCCTCAGGCATCTCACCCGTAACAGGTTACCACCTGATGTGCCAAGAGGCGGAGGCATAGCCCAAGAATCCCCAACAGCAGCTGACTTCCTGCCCAACTAAATGTGCCGCCTGGTGAGCCCAAAGGAGAAGCAGTGAATTGACAAACGGCAAGTTCATCACTAGCACCTCCACGAGTCACACCGGGCCTTCCTGTGGCACAAGCTCTGTTAGGAATTTTTGACTGACGATGCCTGTCCCTTGCATTTCAAGCAAACCAGTTTTGAGTCGGGAAAGCAGAAAGGAATTTACTTTAGATTTACAAAATTAACAGGTCCCAATACTGAGAGACATCACCAGATGGACCTCTTTCCTGAACAGTTGAGATGTTTCTGTTTGGTGTCTCCACACATCCACAGAACAGCCACATTTGCATCATTACCTTGGCTAACACTTCACTTCCTCAATGAAAGAAAGGCTTCAAAGGAAAACCTTAAAAACTAAAGACTTTAAAATGAAGTAATATAATAATGCCACAACAGTACCACAGCTTTTGCCTACCCAAGTGAAAAAGCAATCTGAGAATCCGGTGGTATTTAAAGAAACTGCCCACCGGGAGAATTCAGAAAGGCTCGGTAGCTCACAGGAATTTGGGGGAAAATACCTCTTCCTGTCCTCTGAGTCTGGCAAAAATGTATCTTACAAGCTGAAGTGTTTGTAAACCTCTAAGGACATGTGGCTTCTTGTGAAAACGAGATGAAGTATGGGGAAGCTAAAGCCACTTCTGCCCAAAGCAGGTAAACTTGGGAGAGGAAGCCAGAGTTGCACAGTTGTTTCTGCACGTTTCTTCCAGCCTCTCTCCGTGAAAGTAGAACAGGATTCCAGGAAAAGTCATAATTTTCCAGATTCTATAGAAGAGGAAGAAAACCCCCATATTACCTAAGCTTACAGATTCATTTGGGAGCTTCAGATGTCAATTCATTCAGACCTACATTTCCTATAAAGTAATCCAGATGGGGGAAAAAAAGAAAAAGGCCTCTAAAAGGTAGAGTATAATGTCCCTGTGGCAGTAAAGCCAAATGATGCCTAAAACAGAGGGTTCAGAGCTCAGAGTGGAGATCCCTTTTATCATGTGATTGAGGGGTGTTCAGTGGCTCATCCAAGGCCACACAGCAGTGTAAAGCCAGAACTCAGGTCTCCTGGTAGACTCCTCTCCCTTTCCCATACCACAGTACCCTGAATTTAGGGAAAAGTTACTTTTTAGATGTTTGTGAAATAGGCCAGAACCTTTCCCTGAAGGAAAACACTCCCAGTTCTCCCTATGCTCACTTGTTTGTCCCATCAGTGTACCCCGCTCCTGAATCAGGCTCCCTTGGTCCCTTGATCATCCCCCAACCCCGCTGGAGCAGCTCTATACAGACGCCTGGTGAAGCCGCACAGAAACTGCCTTGATTTTCACCAGGGACGTCCTGCTTTCACAGCATGGTTCAAATCTCCTGAGGTGTCCAAACTATTTGATCTCTCTTTGGAACCAAAATAAAACACAGCAGCTGCAGAAGGCAGACAAATCTTGCCTCTGACTCCTTGGGTCAACTGGAAAGGCCGAGGAAACATCCCGGTCTTGCAGATACTTGTCCAGGTGAGCTTACACACACGCAAGCTTTTCAAGTCAAATGGACACGGGCAAAACTGGCCAGGAACGCAGCGCAGCGTGTACACTGGGAAACTCGGTGGAGCTGAACAGTTCATTTCTCCCTCTGTCTAGCTTGGGGGGGGGGGGGGTTTTGTTTTTTAATCTCTCTTTCCTCTCTGAGGTTGAAGAACACCTCTAACCAATTCCCACATCCAAGCCGTGGGGTTCTGAACCTTCCACTTTGGCCCGCCTACTTGTGCTACTGAGATCTTTTCAGCCATGCTGGCCACACTGTCCTTGGCAGATGGAACTGGAGGCTGCCAGGGGGCTGCATGCTGGCACTTCCAGCTCTGCCAGGTCCTAGGGGATCCAGGGTTAGTATCCACGGGGAAGAGCCTTCCCTGGAGTTGGCACTAATGAGGTGAATCATTTTCACCACCAGCTTCTCCATGCATTTTAAACAGTGCTACGAAGATGAAGCGCTTACTGACAATAGACTGGCCTTTGCCTTTCAGAGCACTGTGCTCTTCCTACCTGAGCTGTTGTCCCCTTGCCCGGCGGCCTCATAAATGCATGGAGAACGTACTTAGACAACACATAGTACTTGTCCACTTTTTAACGCCGTAATTTTCAAGGAATGAATACGAAAAGAAATAGGTCAAAAGCCACCAGCTGAACCACCTGGTTTGGTGGTTGGGCTAAGGCTGAAGTTGGAAGGGTCTAAAGTGCTGAAACGGAGAACTAACATTTGGTCTCGCTGGCTAGACTCAAGTCAGTCCACCCACACCAGAGAGAGAAATGTAAGCGTATCTGGGAGGGCGGGGGCCCCAGAAGGAATCCAGCGATAACCCGCTCGTGCATTCGTTTCCAGAGACCAAAATTTAAGACTCCCAAGTAATTTAGCCATTCCCTGCTGCCAAGTTTCCAGTGTACCGCCAGAGCCTTGGGGACAGAAGGAATTCACATGAACCCTGGTCATTTCACCTGCCCTTTTCCAGTTTAACCCTTCCTACCAAAAGGAAGTTGGCTGTCGCCAGGTCCCAGGAATACACATATTACTTTCCTTAAAGGTAGGGCCAGCTGGTAACACATGCCTCTTGGGAAGGCCCAGGTGTACCACAAAAAAGGATCCAACCATTTGCCTCTAGAGAGCCATTTCTCTAGGCAGAAAACCAGTGTCTAGCATTCAATAACTAAACCAAATCCCAGAATGTCAGCAGCCAAGGCCCTAGGCGTCATTTCATCCAGCTTCATTTTACAGATGAGAAGGCAGAGCCCAGAGGCCCAGGTCTTGTCCACAGTCACACTTCTGGGCTGTAGCCCTGCTCTCTTCATTCCTGGGCCAGAATTCTTTCAGCTCCTCAGGCCTGGCATCTAGCGTTTTGAGTAAAATCACATACCTCTAGGATCCCGTATGATTCTATTGAGAACCAGGGCTAAGGCTTTATGGGTTTGGGGAAAACTTGTTTCTATTGCAAGAGTCAGTCAATGAATCCCAGAGGTGCTTTCAAGTCTCTGGCTCCCAAATTTGATCAGGAAGTGCTGCTTATGTCCTGATGCTCCCATGACGATTCGATTAAGGTGCTTTCCAAACCCAGTGTGGCAGCTAGGGCCTGGGCCTCAAACTAGAAACTTCCTGATGAGCAACACAAGTCTGTAGTTAGGGTTCAGGTGAAAGACACAAACTTCCAAAGTCTCCTGGTGTGGCCACCTTGTAGGCTCGGCCAGGTTCTTTCATATGAGTGTGCTGACTGGACAATCAGGTGGTTTTCTCTTGGAATGTGGAACCAAAATGATTTTGGTCCTGATTTTTCTTGTTCCAAAATCTCTATGAACCAGACACAGCTTCCAGATTATGGTTGCAAACTGGGATTCCCAACGTTTGAGAATCACTGGGGACATTTTCCATGTCTTCCATGGATTAATTCAAGAGTGACCAAAGGCTTACCCCATGGCTTACCCTCAGAGCTCTACAGGCTGCAGTTTAATTACAAGGAGCAAGACAGACTCCATGGCACCTCAGACTCTCCTTGCGCCTCTCCAAAGAAAAAGGAAAGGATTTAAAGATGGCGGCACTCATAGGGGACTGGCTAATAGCAGGAGTAGAGCTGTGATTTCACGGCCCTCAGAGAATCATCACACTGCACATCTGGAGTCAGCCCCTCAGGAGGCGGGGCCTGGCCCAGGATGCTGTCGCAGACAGGGACAGGTTGGCAGAACTCTCTCACGAAGTCCTCCTCCGAGGCCAGCAGCACTGCATTCCAGGCGGTGATGTCCAGTTCTCCAGCCGTGCCCCCATACTCCTTGGGGAGAATGCTTCTGGGAAGGCTTGTGTGCAGAGAGTTCAGGTTGGACCCATGGAGGAAGAACTAAAGGGGAAATGGAAACACATGTGCCCTCAGGTTAATCAGTATCAGTCACCTGCAAGCCAGGTAGGTGCTCAACCATCTGTTGAATGAATAAAGGAACAGCTGATGGCAACTGGACCCTTCCAGTTCCTCGAAAAGCTTGAGGATCCTTAATTCCCTTCCTATACCCCATGCTCTGTTGGCTGCTCCTTCAAAAGACAGCCAGGATCCAACCACCTGCGGCCCACCTCGTGGAACCCTGCCACCCCCACTTCTCCCCTGGGTTCCCACGGACAGCCTCGGCCTGGTCTCCCTACTCGCAGCCTGTTCTGCAGTCTCAGCTCTTCTCGGCGCCAGTCAGATCACGCCACTCCTTTCCGCGGGGCCTGTCAGTGCTCCCACCTCACGCACGCCAGAGGCCGGGGTGCTCCCACCGGACGCGCATCAGAGGCGGAAGTCGGCACGCGGGCCCCCGCGGCTCCTCCGCCGCCCCGCCCCTCTGCTGCTGCTCCCGCCCAATGGGCTCCCACCTGGGGGCGGTGCCGCTGCTGGTTCTCCGAGATCTGTAAGCGCTCTCCCTCACTTCTGCCACGTCGGCTCAAAGGCCAGCTTCTCAGTGACACCATCCCTAACCCCCCTACTGGATGCTACAACCCCTTGCCCCTGTCCTGTACTGGCCCCTTTCTCTGCTTATTTTTTCTCCACAACACTTATCACATCTTAATACTAGATAATATACATCCACTGTCTGTGTCTCTAGCATGTAAGCTCCCCCGGGGGTTGGGGGGGGGCAGCAGAGGTTTCGGTCTATGTTGTTCTAGAACGTACTTGTGCACAGTTGATCGATAGATATTTTTGAAAGAATGAATGAACATATGAAGGACGAAATGAACAAGATTATGGACCACAAATAAGGTCATTTCACAGATAAAAAAGGCCCGTTCCAAAAAGACTGCTTTGGCTTTAAAAGCAGGTTCCAAACAGGATCTCCAGGTACTAAGAGGGGTTCAAACCCAGGCAGGGATGCCACTAAATTAGCAGTTCTCCAACCTGACTGTGCATCAGAATCACATAAGATTTTAAAAGCACAAACTCTTTGGCTCCACCCCTGAACGTTCAGAGTTAAAATCTTCAGGGAGGGATGCCTGGGTGGCTCAGTCGTTAAGTGTCTGCCTTCAGCTCAGGTCATGAGCCCAGGGTCCTGGGATCGAGCCCTGCATCGGGTTCCCTGCTCCGCGGGAAGCCTGCTTCTCCCTCTCCCACTCCCCCTGCTTGTGTTCCTTCTCTCACTCGCTTTGTCAAATAAAATCTTAAAAAAAAAAAGCAACAAAACAGTTTCAGTAGAGTGGAGGTATAGATTCTTTAAAAAAAAAAAAAAATCTTCAGGGAAAGGGCCTGGGAATCTGGATTTTATTTTATTTTATTTAGTAAAATTTTCAGTAATCTCGATACCCAACATGGGGCTCGGACTTACAACCCTGAGATCTATAAAAGGGCCAAAGAGTAGCACATTCCACCAACTGAGCCAGCCAGGTGCCCCCTGTCTGTATTTTAAATTCCTTGCCTTGCAACTTTGAGATTCTCTCTCTGTTTTCTCTTTGAAAAAGTACAAAATTCAAGACCCAGTCTTTGGAGGGACCACAATGTTCCTAGGCCTAGGGAAGAAGGAGAAAAATACCACTCATCACATGCAATCACAGTACCAGCAAAGGTTGAGAAGTGGCTCTTCTAGGTCAGAGAGGAAGACCATCTTTCAAAGTGCCATCTATACTTTCTTAAACAACAGATAAGCTAAAACTCACTAATCTCATAAACCATGAATTATTCCACAAACTTGATACAGCAAGACAACAAATCAGGTAAATAGAAGGGCTTAAAATAGCATTTTTAAACCCCAAGGAGCTGTAGTAAGAAATCACCGTAACTTTTTAACTACCTGCCCAATACTACCCTTCTCCCTGTCCTCTCACACATGAAATACAATGTTGGTTCACTGTGCCCAGGCCAGGATATTGAAGAGTCTAAATGACTACATAGCATTTTAACTCTTTTGAGAGCTACCTCCTCTGCTCTCTCCTGTCAGATATTATATCCTATTCATTTTATCTTCTTTTCACAGAAAGGATTGTTCACTTATTTTATCTGTAACTCTGTACTTTCCAAATTAATCATCCCAGGACAAAAATAATAAACTAAGAGAAGTTTATTGATGTCACAAATAAGGGAGCAAAAAAAAAAAAGTCAACAGAATCATCACTTACTCTGTTTGCTATTTTCTCCTTCAGAAATGGTTTTATGATGGCAAAAATGCCTTTAAATATTCGAGGTTCATTCACTACATGCACTGCTTTTATCCGAATGGGAAAGCCATCCTGCAGGGGAGGGGAAGGAGAGGTTAGAACATGTGGGGCAACCACATGCATCCTGCAGGGGAGGGGAAGGAGAGGTTAGAACATGTGGGGCACCCACAGACTGTCCACAGCTGCCTTCCTCCTTTAAGTCTTCTTGAGGGCCCCAAATCAGTTTGGCCTGACTCTCATGGCCTCCTCAAAGCCAGCCCACGTGGGGGCTAACTAGGAAGACAAGCCTCAGAGAGACTTTCTTGGGGCCTAAACTTAGGCCAAAAAGTGGAGAGCTGCTCTTGTGGTCAAAAAAAAAAAACCAAAACAAGACAAAAAAACAAAAACGAGAGCCTATGTGGATGGATCTAGCAACATCAATCCTTCAGGATCGGTGTTGCCAAAGGGTATTTCTCAGGACGGTACTAGGTGTGATGCAAAAAAGGTTCCAAGGTAGGTAAAAAAGTTAGAGAATAGCCCACTATATAGTCACATGGGTTTCCTTCACTTCCTTCACACGACAGGACTGTCGTGTACAAATGTTCACAGTCACATTCTCAAGAAAGGGACATGCTATACCACATTTCCCAGACTTATTTAACCCTGGAACTTTCTCCCCCCTGATCACCTTAGAAGACTAGAAAACACTGATCCAAACTCCTTATCCTGGTATTTGAATCTACGCAGTATTTAGCACGGGCATCGAAAGAAGAGTGGAAGCTAAGGGAAGCCAGAGTATTGGCTCCACATTTCTGATAATGACCAAATGTGATGCTGATGTTTAAATGATCAGCCTGGCACCCAGTTGGGGGCTCACAGGCATTGTGGGATTCACAGAGGAAACTGCTGTATTTCTGGTGCCCCACAGCTCACGAGAGACAGCACCCATGGGCTGGCCAGAGGGAATGAAGAGCCAAAATGGTTAGAGCCGTAAGACTCAGGCCAGGCTACCCCTGCAAGGGCTGTGTCCCCATCCATCAAAAAGGAAAAATAATTTGTGCTCACTTCAGCAGCACATGTACTAAAAAGAAAACTTAATTTTTGCCTTGTTTATCTCAGAGGAGTCCTCGTAGGACTGAATGAGTTATAATGACTGTAAAAGCACTTTGCAAACTATTAAACATTGTGCACATATGGGAGGAACGTTCTGGTTCCCCGCACTTGTGTTCTTTTCTTTTTTCTTTTTTTTTTGGTGGGCAGCAAAGCAAGGTTTATTGAGCAATAGCGAAATGATAGTACAAAGCTCCTGAAGAGGGAGGAGACCTGAGAGGGTTGCCCTGTGCCTGTGTTCTAAAACACAGAACACGGGGGTGCCTGGGTGGCTGAGTCAGTTGAGCATCCACTGACTCTTGATGTCGGCTCAGGTCATGATCTCAGGATCATGAGATCAAGCCCCGCCTTGGGGCTCTGCACCAGGGATGGAGTCTCCCTGAGATTCTCTCCCTCTGCCCCACCCCCATGCACATGCGTGTGCAAGCGCACTCTAAAAAACAAAAAAACAAAACAAAAAAACACATAACACATGAGATGTGAAACAATAGGCTCCCCGTCCCCAGGTCCCAGAGGGCAGGACAGGATCTAACATATTAGCCAGAAACACAAATTCTCAGTTTCATTTGTTAGAATTGCTCCTCTGTCTTCTGGAGAAAGAAAAAAAAAAAAAAGAAGAAGAAAAGAAAAAACATGCAGAAAGCATTTTCCTGTCTGTTGGGCTCTTGCCCTAAAGCTGATCTTGCCCAGACTGAAGGGACCTCAGAAACTACGGGAGAACCTGACGAGAATAAGTGGTAAATAGGACATTTACATTTCTTCCCATAATGCTTTTGTATCTGTCGGATCGTAGAAGTGGGGTTTGTGTATCACGTGGGACTGGCGGTGAACAGGCAAGTCCCCCCGGGGAAAGCCCAAACTGCCACGGAACAGGCACACGACAAACAGGGGCCATACCTGAAGGATGCCAATCACCTTTTTGGCTATAAAGGGGCCAAAGTGAGATGCTTTTGATAAGCTCACTCCTTTGTAGTCTGCAAGAATTACAATTCCATTCACCTGGGTTTCTTCAGACTGAATGAGTTTTTCTAACGTCAAGTATATGGCTCGGATGTTTTCGGTAATTGGATAGTTGCTCGGTATCCATCTGTCTGAGGTCATAAGAAATGGACAGAATGTTACAGAGGTGAATACAAACAAGTCTTCACAGGCTAAGATTTATCTCCTTGCTAGAACTCTCGTTTAAAAATGGAAAGACAGATACTCTACTGGCATGACTCTATTTAGGTTAGTAAATGGGACACCTTAGCAGCAGCTGATGTTATTGCCAAAGGGAGCAAGCAGCACATTCTGAAAAGGAAATGCAATTGAGTGCTGAAGTTAAAAGCCTGAGCTCTGAAGTCAGACACACGGGGAGGGGGGAGGTTGGAATCTTAATAGCTGTGTGAGTTACCTCCTCACTCTGAGCCCTCATCTCCTCAGAAGTAAAATGGGATAGTAATACTACCCTTAACGGACATCTGTGCCGTCTGCCAAACAGATATGTGCCCAGATTTTCATACCATTGCCCTGAGCCACCTCTTCCCACGCTAACCTTGCGGTTTGGGTACCACTGACCTGCCTCCTGGCTGCAGGGGTGGGCGTGACCAATGCAGGTCTTACATCCTCCTGGCCACAGTGTGTGACCCAAGCCTGATCAAACACAGCCAAGGGGACTCAATTCTGCGACCACGGCCCTTTGGAAAGAAAAGATCCCTCTTCCCTCTTATCATGGAGAGGCTAGGAGCCTGAGACTCAGGGGCCCCAGGAGGCAAGGGCTGGCCTGAGAATGAAGCATGTGCCAAGGAAGACACAGATGGAGACAGTTTTCCAGTGCTGTGCTTTGTGCCACATCCCCTTTCTGGGCCAGATGCTCCCTTAGTATTCCCCATATATTTAAGGAATCCTTCCTTTCTCTGGGAAGAAGATGGAAATGACACTTTTGACTGTTAACTGCTATTGTCAAGAAAATCCCACCAACACCTGTGGGTCCTTTTCTTAGGAAGATAAAACTCCACATGACTGCCACCACCAAGGGGATATGTAATGTGAAAATTCCTATGAACAAAATCTTGTCCAAAAGCTGTGCCAGCTTGCTGTTGAATGTTCCTGCCAACTAAACCTGCTTCTACATAACTGGATGTCATCCTTCTCAATAACATATGTCCCCAAAGAGGAAAAGCTAATATCCAGTTGAGAACAAAACCTTCTCAGTATGCCGCCTCCTAAAGAGTTGCGTTGGTGGGGAGGGGTCTAGCTCCGCTCCAGACATATGGGGGAAAAGTCATCTCACAAGCAAAGGGTTGAAATCGTGCAAGCAAAGGGCTGAAACCACATAAGCAAAGAGGTGAAACCAGTGTGCTAATCTGTTTTGTAATATCCTTATGAGTTGAGTACAGAGGAGCAGCAGAAAAAAAACCTGCTGACTGGTTCCTAGGTCTCCTGGTGCTCTAAAATCTCCACTGCGTTGCTTATTTTAAATAAACAACCCTAATTTTGGAAAGGGCCTAAAACAGCAGGTAAAGCAGTTAACACTGTGCCTGGTACACAGTAAAGGCTCAAGAGGATGGTTTAGTCTCCAAAAAGGGTTTGGTAAATGACCAAAGTGACGGCGATGTGGCCTTAAAGGCAGAGGAAAAGTACAGGGAGGTCACCACTCCCCATTAGGCATCCCTTCAAGAGGACTAGGTACAAGTGAGAAGAGGGCTGCCGGCAGGCATGTTCTCCTGCTCCTGGCTTGGTTGGGAGAACACCGCAATTTTAGTTTCATATTTTGTCTCTGCTCTGGTCTGACGGAGAACGTTAAGGCCGTGGGGGTGGGAACCCGTGGGTAACGCTCCTTCACTCCTCAGTTGATGGCGCATTTGGTGCCCCCAATTAAAGCTACTGCCAGGGAAATGTAAGATGTGCTGATTACCATCAGTAAGTGCTGAGACTGAAAAGTGAATCAATGGCTTAACCCAGTAGAGGAAAGGAGGGAGAGGAGAGGCATGCGGCAGACGGACACCCTTCCCATCGTCCACCCAGCCCCCATCGATGGCTGCCTCACCGACTCACAAAGGAGGGACGGGGCAGGCCTGCTCGTACCCTATGACCAGGGCAGATTCTCAACGCTAGAACTCGGGAATTTGCACGGAGGAACTTGACTGGGTGGCCCAGGAAGCCTGGGCACTAAGGGGTAGGAGATCTCTCCAGGGCCACAGAGGCAGCAAAAGCCAGTCTACAGGAAGAAGAGTGAAGAAGATAGGACAGCACAGCACAAATGTGTGGCCCAGAGAAATACACAGACTGATAGAGGCGGGGACGGAGGGAATGGCTGGCTTAGTTCCTGACGGGGGAATGGACTGGACTCTGGTTCTGGGGCCCAGGGCCCCAGGAAAGCGGCTACACTTTCAGCTGCCTGGTTCTGCAGGATGCTCCTGTTTCATTAGACTAACTCCTCCCCTTTTTCCTAAGCAGGGTTGAGTAGCTTTTTGTCATTTGTCATCCAAAGAGCTTTGACTAAACCGGGGAGAAGGCAAAGAGGAAAAGGTGAGGGAGAGAGGGTACGGGGCACACAGGCACCGGCCGACCGTCTCGGGCAATACCTGGGCGCATGCAGAGGATATGGCAGCCCCGGGGGTCGGTGTGGGGCAGCACGGTGAGGAATCCAGAAGCAAGGACATCCTTTAAGGCCGAGGGCTTCAGGTTGTTGAAGACCTCGGGCCAGCTTCTCCTGCAGCTGTGGTAGTTGACCAGGAGCTGCAGGGCCCGGTCGTAATCGAACTTGCGGGCTCGGAGGAAGCGTAGCAGGAAGGCGTCGTCCAGGGAGGTGCTCAGGTTCGGGCACTCCTTCCGCACCATGTCACGGAGGGCCTGCACGTCTCGAAGTCTCCATTCTGGCTTCTCCTGCAGCTCCTCCCTGGCTTTGGTGACCAGGTCTTCCGTCAGCGAGCACACGTAGCCGGGAGGCTCGGCCGGTGGCGGCAGCTCATTTTCCGAGAGCGAGGCCACAGAGGGGCTGGTTCGCAGAGAGTCACTTTCTTCTGACATTAGCTCCCAGGATCCCTGCCAAAACACGAACCCCAAGCCCAGTGAATGAAGCCCAGCGCCGCTCATTTCAGGGCAGCACCATGTGGCAGGGGGTGCTTCTGTCAGCTTGGGGGTTCTCAGCTGGAATGAAGTGGCTCAGAACCCCGTACCCAGGTCCCACCCCAGACTGAATGGAGGATCCCCACCGAGGCCCCCGGACAGCCACGGCACGACACACACAGTCCTCATCCAACACCGTGGCCTTGCTTACAGATGTACGAATGCTTGTTCGACCTACTCGTAATTCGAGAAACGTGAACTAAAACAACTCTGAAAGTCAGGTTGGCAAAAATACAAAATGGGCGTGGAGATGCTTGCTGTGGGTCAGAGAATAAATTGGCCTAGCCTCTTCAGGGGACAGTTTGGCAATATCTACCAAAATTTAAAACCACACACCCTTCGGCTCAGCATCCTGCTTCGAGGACATATACCTGTGTGTGTGCGCAAAATATACACACAAGGATGATCACTTCAAGTATTGATTATGATGGGAAAAGATAGGAAATACTTTAACTGCATACCAGTTGGAGACTGGTTAAATAATATGATCCTAAGAATGGGATACTATTCACTCATGAAAAGGAATTAGGCAGGCTTTTATGAACTGACACACCAAGGAAAAGAAAGCAAGTTGCAGAACAGTGTGCATAAAATAATCTCGTATTTTTAAAAATATATACCTATATACTGAGTGCACCTAAAATTTCTGTAAGGAAATAAACTGTTACCAGTGGTTCCCTCTAGGGAAGAGTACTGGACAACAGGACATTTAAGGAGGGAGACTTTTTACTGTGCTGTTTGACTTTTTCACCATATACACACATGACTTATCATGATGGCTGTGAAACCGGGCTGATTGGCTCTCCCTCGGGGTTGGAGCATAACTGATGCATGGCCCCAGCTGCTATCCCTCTGGATCCTCCATCCAGTGGATGCCACACTTTCCAGACTGTCCCCAGCCAATGACTGAGTGAAATGTAGGCCTCCTCTAAAGGCAACTTTGCCTTGAGGTTCAGCTCGAACCTTCCGGGGAACTGCCCTGCAGTCCACGACTCCCTGCCCAAACCTCCTTCCCGGGGGGCTGGACTCCTCTATCGTTGTCTAAAGGCTCTCCCTGACTTCTGCAGCTCCCCTCCCTTTCCTGCTTCACAGGTGCTGCCTCCAATTAATTTCTTGCATGCCTAATCTCATCCTGGTGTCTGCTTCTTGAAAGATCCGAACACACTTATTGAATAAAAGACAAAAACAAAACAGCTGCTTTAGATATCCCAGGAATAAGGTAGCAGCAGCTGTCCAGTTCCAAAGCCCAAGCTCTTGTCTACAGACTACCACTGGTCCCTGACTCTGAGCTCAAGGAGAGCAGGGACCATCTCAGGGGTTTCTGCACGTAGCCGGTGCCCAGGTCACTCCCCCTAAATCTTAGGTCAGCCCACTCCGTTCCTTGCATTCTAACCTCCAGCCCCACCCAGCTGCTTTCACTTCCACCCAAAGCTGTGTTTTCTTGTCTTGTTCACATCCTGTTTCCTCGGGCTAGCTTGTTCTTCCTCCAGTTCTTCACCTGATCAATACTGATTCATCCTTAAGTCCCAATTAGATGCCACTTCATGCATTCAACAAATATCTAGTACTTTGCTATGTACCAGGCCCTCTTCTGGGCACTGAAGGTACATCAGTGAACAACTACAAAAAAATAGTGCCTTTGTTGAACTTAGATTCTAGTGGAAGAGGCAGACTATAAGCAAGATAAACTGTATAATAATCAACCAGATGAAAGCGCTATGGGGATGGGGCGCCTGGGTGGCTCAGTCGTTAAGCGTCTGCCTTTGGCTCAGGTCATGATCCCAGGGTCCTGGGATCGAGCCCCACATCGGGCTCCCTGCTCGGCCAGGAGCCTGCTTCTCCCTCTCCCATTCCCCCTGCTTGTGTTCCGTGTCTCTGTCAAATAAATAAATAAAATCTTAAAAAAAAAAAAAAAGTGCTATGGGGAGAAATAACGCAGGGAAAAGGGTTGGATGTACTTGGGAGTAGGGACTGCAATTTTAAATATGATGGTCAGGGATGATTTGTTCACGCAAATGACATTTGAGGAAAGATGAAGGAGATGCGGGAGCAAGCTCTGCAGACATCTGGGAGAACAAGGGCAAAGCCAGAGGCAGAAACACACCTGGCTTTTTCAAAGAACAGCGAGGAGGCCAGTATGGCTAGAGCCAAATGAACAAAATGGAGAATATTAGCAGATGAACTTATAGAGGTACCAGGGGCCCCACTGGTACAGGGCTTTGAGGGCCAGTAAGAACTCTGACTTTTACTGAGTTTGGTGGGACCCATCTGAGTAGAGTGACACGATCTGATTTCTATTTTAAAGGACTGCTCGACTGTCTAGCAAATGGGTTGTAAGGGGATAAGGACAGAAGTAAAGAGACCATTCAGAGGCTACTGCAGTAACCCAGGTAAGAGATGATGGTGCCTGAAGCAGGAAGCCTTCTCCAACCTCCAGACCAGGGTAGGAGCCTCCCTACCAGGAGCTCTTTGGCATAGCACTCTCCCTCTGTTGTAATTGTCCGTAGGCAATTTGCGAGCAACATCCGTAACTGCCTTGTTCATCACCTTAAACCCATCACCTAACAAAAGTGTCAGACACATAGTCTGCACTCCATAAATATTTGCTGAATGAGTTGAATCCCCTTGGTGGAGGAATGCTAAGTGAGGAATTAAACAACAATCACGTCCACAGGACCCACCCTGGGCTGTTTCCATGGGAGTCACCAACAGATGCCTGTAATCCCAATCCAGTGCTTACCTGGGAGACAGACTGTAGTGTCCATAGGCTATAGGCCTAGCCTGGCACATGACGGTGCTCTGTAAATATTAGCGGACGATAGGAGGTTAAGTGACGTGCCGGAGGGTACACACCTAGTCGAGGATGTGTCTAGCCCCACACTGGGCCCTACCCTCCACCTGGAGCTTCCTGTTTAATCTCCAGGGCCTCGGTAGTGTCAGGTTCAGAGCAGGACTCGGTCTCGAGAATGAAATGATGGATGGGCGTATGGATGGGTGCAAATACCATTTGTTACCGTGAAGCCTGGAATCTTCCTCACCTGCAGCCCATCATGTTGTGACATCACTTTCCTCCCCACCCCACCAAGAGGCCAGGAAGCCATCGCTCCTGGAGCCCCAGAGACCCCATGTCCCGTCGACAACCTTCTGAGGCCCCCCACTTCCGGCTGTCACCCCTTCCCCAGGTGTCCCCATTTCCTGGGGTCTCTCTCCTTGAGTCCCTTAACTTCCGGTTATTCCTCCCTCTCAGGGGTCCCTCTCCCCGACCCCCACGACACACGGGAGGACTCGCGGGCACTCACCGGCCGGGCTACGGGGCGGAGCGCGGGTCTATCGGCGGCGGGAGCCTCGTCCGGCAGCGCGCACAGTACCGACCCGCACTCCCTGCCCGGCCGGCCCGGCCCCTCGCGCCGGAAGTGACGTCTGCGGGGCGTGGGAAGGCGAGTCACCGCCCGTGAGTGCGCATGTGCAATATCTGGCCGCAGTGCCGGCGCTCTGTCTCCACCTAGCGGCCAAGTCTGCGCGCTGGAGGAGTCCGGCCGGCGGAGAGGCTAGTTGGGAGGGTCAGGGAGAATGAGGCCCCGGAGAAAGGAGGAAAGAAACTAGAACATGCCACCATGTACTTGGTGTTTTACATCCACTGTCTTACTGAATCCTCGTATTTATGGAATCCCCCTCTTTCATGGAAGGAAATTGGCAGTCAATGAAGTGTAAAGGGTTTCCAACCTAGACCTCGGGATTGGCATTCCAGGATTCTTCCCACCGCAGCTGCCATCGGGACAGGGGGACTGCAAAGGGGGAGATGCCCATCCCGCGGACATCTGTCTGTCTGTAGCTGAGTGACCGCAGGCCTCAGTTTCCTCATATATAACATGATTCTTGCTTTGAAAGTCCCATTGAATATTTACTTGTGTCCTGCTTTGGGGCTCATAAAGTCTCCTTCAGAAAGGGGTAGCTTGAAAAAAGGTGTTCCTGCCCCACCCCCAGTTCATTAAACCCCAGCACCATCACCCCCACCCCCACCCCAACATAGATTTCATGCAACTACGGCTTTGAGACAAACCTCCTTGGTCGCTGTCTCAAGCAAGAGTAAAGACACAAAACCATTTCTAGAGAGAAATTCTGTGGCCTCGGAGGACTGGGAGCCCAAAGGTGTATCCAAGAGATGACCTTAAACAATCCCTTCCTTTCCCGACCTCAGAGGCAAGAGGAGCTCTGGGAGATTGGAACTGACCCATGAGGCCGGTGAGAACATGGCAATTTCTGCCAGATCCCAGATTGTTGAGGCTAGTAGGGGAGCCCGGGAGTTGTAAGTTTTGACTCCTGCTCTGGCTCCACCACTTCTAGGATAAAATACAGAGCACTCAGTTAAATTTAAATTTCAGATAAACAACAATTTCTTTTTAAGTGTAAGTATGTCTCATGCAACATTTGGGATATATTATACTAAAAAATGTATTATCTATCAGAAATTCAAATTTAACTGGATACCCTGTGTTTTGTTTGTTTGGTTTTTTCCCCCCAAAATCTATGTATTAGTTTCCTATTGCTTCTGTAAGAAATTGTTGCAAACGGGGTGACTTGAAACAACACAAATTTATTCTTTTATAGTTCTGCAAGTCGGAAGTCTAAAATCAAGGTGTTGACTTGGGATGCATTGTCTCTGGGGACTTTAAGGGGGAATCCATTTTTTTTTACCTTTTTAGCTTCTAGAGGCCACTTGCAATCCACAGCTCACAGCTCATGCCTCAAATCACTTCAGCCTCTTACTTTTGTTGCCACATCTACTACTGACTCTGATCCTCCTGAGTTCCTCTTTTAAATTTTTTTAAATTTTTCTTGTGGCAAGAGCACCTAACATGAGATCTACCCTCTTAACAAGTTTTTAAGTGTACAATACATATCACTGGCTACAGATACAATGTGTCCTGCCTCCCTCTTATAAAGACTCTTGTGATTACATTGGGTCCGCCCAGATAATCTAGGATTATCTCCCATCTCGAGATCCTTAACTTAATCACATCTTCAAAGTTCCTTTTATCATATTCGATAAGATAATAACAGGCTCCGAAGATTAGGACAAGGATATCTTTGGGGCGCCATTATTCAGCCTACCACAATCTGGCAACCTTATGTGCAACTGTGTGACCATAGCCAAGTCACTCAAATTTCCAAAGCCTCTAGTTCTTCATGGGCAAAAAAGCTGATTAAATAACCTCATAAGGGGAAACACCTTGCTCCTGGCCAGGCAAACAGTGTTTTTACAAATGGCAGCTCTCATGGCAAAGGGCAAGGGATGATCCTATCCAATCCTTGGTGTCCTAGTTATTGGAATAAACTCCTCTCCTCCACCCAGACCCAGGGCCCTTTGGTGGTACCGTCCAGGTTGCAATCCCAAATACTGCCAGCAGGAGGAGAAGAATACAGGTCTAGAACCTGGTCTCAAGGGCAGGGGAGGGTTGGGAGGTGATTCAGAGATGCCCTAGAAGTCCCTGCCCCATCCCTCAATTGAGGGCCATTACTTTTGGTTCCTCCTGGTGTTACATATCATGGAACCAAGATATTTTAGGATTAGAAAAGTTCAGATAATCAGCAAAGAAAGTTTTCATTTTTTGAGGGATTATATACACTAGGTACTATGCTAAATTGTTTGTATGATTTCAATTATACCTTACTACAACCCTGTGAACAGGAAGCTAGGATTGTCCCATGTACAGATGGGGAAACTGAAACCCAGAAAGGGAAAGTCACTTGCCTTGGGGCTCAAGATAATCAATGAAAGAGCTGGGTTTGAGCCCAAGTCTGTTTGCCAACACAGCCCCAAATTTTACTTTGCCTTGGAGGTTATGTTGCCTCTTTGTTCTTACAGGTTGGGAAGCACGCTCAGAAAAGGAGAAGAAATTGCCCATGGTCACATAGTAACTCCAAGATTGAGCTGGGATTTGAACTTCTGTCTTTTACTTTTCTGCATTGGACACTCAGAAGTAACACACTTGGAACTGCCCCTCGAAAGATCCATTTCCTTGGGGGTAAAGTGGGGGTATGTGTCCCATTGTCTAGGGAGTCCTTAGAAGGATTCAGTAGAATGGCATGTGCAGAGTCCTGGTACCTTGGATCATGACATGCCTGTTAACTCATGACGGGCGCCCCACTTGAGAGCAGAAAGGTCACTGGAGGGAGGGCAGCTTGTCCTGTGTCTTGGTTTGGAGGGCTTCACACATCCAGTCCTCCTAGCTTCATCCAGTCTCTGAAGAAAAAAATCTGGCCATTGGGTATGTTCTAAAGGAGGCCAGAAATGCCTGACCTATCGCTGTTTTCTATCTTTTTTTTAAAGATTTTTTTTTTTTTAATTTATTTGAGACAGAGAGGGAGAGAGACAGAGCATGAGTGGTGGGGAGGGGCAGAGGGAGAAGGAGAAGTAGACTCCCTGCTGAGCAAGGAGCTTGACGTGGGGCTCGATCTCAGGACCCTGAGATCATGACCTGAGCTGAAGGCAGACGCCCAACTGACTGAGCCACCCAGGCGCCCCTCTATCACTGTTTTCAGAACATGTGATTCTGACTTCAGACAATCTGCTAGAACCAGTTTTAGTATTGATTCTAAGGTAAGGCTTATTTAAGATAGCACTATGATATAGGGCATAGTTTCTCATCCACAACACTATTGGCTTTTGGGGCTGTGCAAGTCTTTTTTGAGGGGTGGGGGGTTTATGCCAACCTGTACATTGTAGGATGTTTAATGGCATTCTTGGTCTCTACCCACTAGATGACAGTAGCACCCCACATTTACAGTGGTGAAAAGCAAAAATGCCTTCAGACATTGCCAAATATGCACTAGGGAAAAAAATTGCCCCAGTTGAGAACCACTGGTATAGAAGAAAGAAAGTTGGCTTCTGGTGGGACACACATGAGTCAGCTGGGCAACCTTGGAACAATAACTTACCTTGGCTTCTGCAACCATAAATTCTCTACTAACAGCTACCACTGATTGAACGCCTTTTTTTTTTTTTTTTTTTGGCAGTGCCGTGAACTCTTTGCTGGAATAATCTCATTTAATTGTCAATAACAGAATCCTGAAGGGACACTGGCTGGTGGAAGCAGGGAGGAAGAAGTAAGGGAGACAGGGAGAAAGTAGTCTGTATTATGCATCTTCTCTGTTCCATGCACGATGGCAGGTGCTTTCACATTTTGTTTATCCCCTGTCATTAGCTGTGTGATTTTGAGCAAACCACCCTGGGGCTCAGTTTCCTCATCTGTAAAATGATAGCAGCTGGGGAGTTCTGATAAGATGATGGCAGTGATGCCCAGCCCAGATTTAAATCCTCCTAAGTCCCCACATACAAACAGAAACAAAATTCCATACCCACATTTGCAACAAAACTAGGTGACAAGGTATTTTCAGGAACTCCACGAACAAATGAGTGAGGACAAATTAGCAACAGCTACGAGGCCCGAGTGCCACTAGGGCCTCTGTGGAGGAGGTATAAAAGGGAAGCAGCAAGGTGTCTAACAGACCTAAGAACAGGAGTCCCCAGATTGCAACATCTAGTTGTGGGAATGCCTGGCGGGGCAATTTGAAAATAGCAGCCAAAACTGGGAAGGGTTTTGCCAGCTCCAGCTGGGAGAGTGCAAGGGGTCTGCCACGAGGCTTAAGGGCTGATAGAGTTTAATGCCCATGAATTCCAGAAATGACCACCAAGCCTTCCTTCTAGGACAGGTCCCATGCTGAGAAACACCTGGGAAGGAGATTGCAATGGAGCAGGATAGGGAAAGTAAAAATCAAGGAAAGAACTGGGCTAGATGAAAGTGGGGGAGGAGAACAGAGCCAGAAAACCTCAGAGGTAAAGCCAGATTTTTGTTAACAATAGGCAGAAACAAAATGGGGAGCTCTGTGAAAATACAAAAGTTTTCTTAACCAAGCCTCCTCTTAAATGTTCAGAAAAACTAATTTCACATAAAATGAGCAATGGAAAAGTTTCGAAGTCAAATCCTGGGAAAGCAAGATGGCTTAAAGAAGAAGGAAGAGGAAGAAGAGGAGAGAGAGAGATTGAGACCGGGAGAGAGAAGAACAGTCCTACAGACAATGAAAGCCACCCAGAAAAACATTTAAAAAAAAAAAAAAAAAAGAGTAAAGCAAGTTAAAAACATGAACAAAATGATGTAAGACAAAAAAGAACAATGTAAATCAGAACTATAGAAATTCAGAAACCAGGGACGCCTGGGTGGCTCAGTCGTTAAGCGTCTGCCTTCGGCTCAGGTTATGATCCCAGGGTCCTGGGATCGAGTCCTGCATTGGGCTCCCTGCTCAGCAGGGAGCCTGCTTCTCCCTCTCCCTCTGCCTGCAGCTCCCCCTGCTTGTGCTTGCTCTCTCTCTCTGACAGATAAATAAATAAAGTCTTAAAAAATTAAAAAAAAAAAAAGAAATTCAGAAACCAGGTGCCAACTCATGAAAGAACCAGAGATAAAGGAAAAAGTATCTTTAAAATGAAAAATGAACTAAATGGAATATAAGAGCAAATGAAAAAATAAAATCAACAGTTGAGATAAATAGAAAGTGAAAGGGGGGGGCAATTTTTAAAAATTAAAGTTCAATGAGGATATAAAAGAATTTGAGGGAAAGGGACAAACATTGAAGTTCGGAAATGAAAATCTAACCTAGGAAAATTCCCATCATTGATGGGAAAAGTATGACAAAGAAACAACAAAAAACAAAAACAAAGCAAGGAATACTTCGTCGACCCAGAACAACCAATACCAAGGCACAATTTTGTAAAATTACTGGTTTTTAAAGAGAAAGAAAAAATTCTTTAGGTGCCCTAGGCATGAAGGCAAAAAAGAAAGAAAATGAGATTCTCATCAGACTCTTCAACAGCAATGCTTTAAGGCAGAAGAAAATGGTATAATATGGTATGATATTCAAAGAAAGTACGAACCAAGAATTTATATCCAGCAAAACCGACCTTCTATAAAGACCCATTATTACCTTGCAAACACTCAGTATTTTTTCCATGAGCCCTTCCTGAGGAGTCTACTGAGATCAAGCTCCAGCCCAACAACATGTTTGGAGAGACATTGCCATGAGGACTGGTGGTAAGCACTCGGTATGTATTTACTTGGAGAAGTAACACTAAAAGAGAGTTAAAAGAGGAACAAGCAGACCTACAGCACTGAGCCCAACAACCTGAAGGCTTGCAACTCGTTCCGCTACAACGGGCTGATTCACCGCAAGACCGGGGGCGTGGAGCCGGCGGCAGACGGTAAAGGCGTGCTGGTGGTCATGAAGCGGAGATCCGGCCAGCGGAAACCCGCCATCTTCTACGTTCGAACCACCATTAACAAGAATGCCTGGGCCACCCTCAGCAGCATCCGGCACGTGATCCGCAAGAACAAGTACCGCCCAGATCTGCGCATGGCTGCCATTCGCAGAGCCAGCACCATCCTGCACAGCCAGAAGCCTGTGATGGTGAAGAGGAAGCGGGCCCGCCCCACCAAGAGCTCCTGAGCACCTGCCTCTGCCTCTAAAGCAATAAAGATGTCGGGCTCCTCAAAAAAAAAAAAAAAAGAGAAATGAAGTTTATAGTGCCTACATGCTTTAACAGTGTAGCTATAGTACAGTCCCCCAAAGTGGTGGGGAAGGGGCACAGTGGATGCAAACATTTTTGTATCCATTTTCAGTATTCTAGTCGGTAGCGGCAATTTTACCATTGTTATTCTGAGACTGTTGCATGTATAAAGTGGCAAATCAGTTATTGTAGAACCTTTCAAATTTTTCATCTCCTGTGTCGAAAACTAAAGTTATATGTGAGGTATACATATATATACTCTGTAATCTATATTAATAAGTACATAATTAAATCTATGTATTTATATAAAATACCTAATTCTATTCACTAATAAGGCCTAGAAACAATGATCATCTAGTAACAGGGAGCATACATAACACTCAGTTTATGAGTGTTGAAATGCCCTTTGCTATTTAAGAAAATAGAAGGACCTCTTGGAGAAATTGATGAATCTAGAGGTGTGACAGGAAATATACAAGATGAGCCTGGAATATCTTGTCATACCAGATAACAAGGAAGCCTTCAAGGCTATCCAGTGGACTTAGAAACCAACCTAATGCTGGTACCATTTCAGCCGCAGACAAGATTATACTTGCAATCGATTGAAATGCGTCAAATATGTTTCAGTAAGTTCGTAATGATATTCAGCAAAAACACTAACTGATCACCTTCTGAAGATAGTTTAGAAACAAATTATACTCTTAAAAAACTACGTAAATAAAACAGAAGAATCGAATATTTGTTCCACCTTTCCTATATGAACTGTACCACTGGGTGACCAAATAATAGATTAAGAAAAACATCTTCTTACAAAATTATTACAACTGATACAGGAAAACAAAATGATACAATATTGCCATTTTGCAACCTACTATGAGTTAGTGTATGTAACCATTGTACACAATAGCTGCTAATATCGAAGAAGAGCAAACTGTAGCCATGTATGTGCTTCTTGATAAAAGAACACAGAGCCACCTATAATCATGCCAGAGGGATGGAAACTGGGTGACTGAGCTGCTAATATGCAGGGAAATGCAGAGGGCAAGGGCCGTGTTGAATATTGGACTGTGAGGATGCAATAGACAAAATCCAGACTTTGAGAAACTCTATGGGTCAAACAGCAGAACAGATAAACTACAAGGAAAAGAAAGAGATTGGGGGTGGGGATATATGGCTTAAAACATATATTAAGTTTTTTTTTAATGGGCAAAATGGAAATATAATGTCTAGGGATGCACATTCAAATGATTAAGCAAGGAAATAATTACTATGAAAGTGAGGTTAGTAATTACTTTTGGGGGGAGGGGCTATGATAGAGAGGGGGTACATGGAGGGGCTCCTGGGGTCACTAGCAAAGTTTTATTTCTTGACCTGGGTGGTGGTTACCAGGATGTTTGCCCCCAAAATAATCACTAAGCTGCAAATTTAATTTGTATGATTTTCCACATCTGTGATTTGTTTTATAATATAAAGTTTTTAAAAGATGAAAACAGAACTACCTACTTCACAGTGTGTGTGTGTGTGTGTGCGTGCATATACACATGTTTGAATATCTGGCTTCTGGTGCATAGTAGGTACTCAATAAATATGAGTCCTCTTCCCCATTAATTCTGTCCAACAGCCTTACCGGTGTGATTTCAGCACCATTGCTAACATTACTAACTTGTGTGACTAATCAAAAATAGTTAATACTTGGGATGCTTGGGTGGCTCCGTCAGTTGGGTGACTGCCTTCGGCTCAGGTCATGATCCTGGAGTCGCAGGATCGAGTCCCACGTCGGGCTCCCTGCTTGGTGGAGAGTCTGCTTTTCCCCCTGACCCACCCCCCTCTCATGCTCTCTCTCTCTCTCAAAGAAATAAATAAAACCTCTTAAAAAAATAGTTAATACTCATTAAGTGATTATTATATGCCAGGCACCATTCCCAGTACATCTGATCTAACAGCATCCCCATAATTCTATTATTATTATTCCCATTTTACAGAGAAGAAAAGTGAGAGTTGGAGAGGTCACCTGTGGCCACACAGCAGGTGGTAAAGCAGCCTGGTTTTGAACCCAGGCAGTCTGCCTCCACAGTCCATACTTGCACCCACTGCATATATAACTTACTGGTTTTCATTTGGTGTCCAGTGGCCTTGTTTGCAGGCATAACTTTCCCCTACCGTGTGCCTGCCAATGTGTGTGCCATCTCTTGACACTCATTACCTGAATCTCACAACAACCCTGGTGGGTGGAGGTGCTTGTTAGTTTGCATTTGACAGATGGGAAAACCGGAGTCAGAGAGGCAAAGGAACTTGCCCAAAGCAAATGGCAGTTGGTGTTGGGGGGTGGTAAATTGTGGTTGGGAAGGGTTCATACTCTTTGGCACTCGGGATTCGAAAGAACAAAATGTTCCATACTCTTAAACAGATTCTCATCTGATGGATCTGACCCAGTCTGAGGTCATGGGTTGCCCAACCAGCCGTCCAGAGCCTGACTTGGCTTGAGAAGTGTCCAGACTAGGGCTGGGAGAAGTCAAGGGCTTGGCAAGCACCAGACATGCCTGACCCCAACCAGGGGATCATGCGAAGCTTGTGACCCATGGGCCTGGCGTGCCTCAAGGAGCCAGAGACTTCTGTTACTCTCTGTGCCAGCCTTTTTGCTCATAAGCCTTGGAGTCAGGCGGGCTGGCCACATCTCTGAGCTTGAGATAAAGATGTGAGTGGGGCTGGCTCTGTGGATTTCCCATAAGAGGTGAGAACCCAGCTGTGTTTTTCTGGTCACATATTGATTGATTTTTAAATCTGAGTCAGCATGACCGTTTGGAGGTACATGGTGTCCTCTCTGTTTCCAGGGGCCCTAGATCCCAGCTGGTCTGAAGCATTTCCAAAACAAGGCCTGGAATGGTAGGGGACCCAGAGGGGTGGAGGCTCTGCACTTCCTGCCCCACCAATACCAGCATAAAAGCCCACCCAGACCACCCTCCACTGTATTAGTAACATGCAGCAGTACTGAATCCTTACCAGATGCTGGGCACTGTGCCACACACTTTATATATACTCACCCCACCAACCTTGTGGAGATGCTCTCAGGTAGGGGCTCTTATGAGTGCCATTGGACAGGTGGGAAAACAGGTCAGCAGGGGAAAATCACCTGTCAGTGGCCACACAGGGATGGAATTGCAGGTCTGTGATTGTGGGAGCCTAGAGAGTCAGTGTCTGATAACACCCTATATTATGTCACTCAGCCCTCACAGTGACCCCATGGTGTAGGTATTGTCACCTTCATGAAGATATGAGAAAATGGAGGCTCGGGAGGTGGATGGGACTTGTACAGTGTTGCTCTAAAGCTCTGCTGTGACAGCCAGCAAAAACTTTTCAAGAGCACAGTCCAAAGCCCACAAGTGCTAAAATTTGGCCATGACCACTTAAAACCCCGATATGTATTATTACCCCTCCATTCACCCACAGTTCTCCTATGGTAGGGAGAGGGGGCAACAATCCTTCGGTGGCCATCTTCTTGGAAGAGTGGAATGGAATGGTGGGGGCTCTTGGGGGGGGGGGACAATTTGAAGAGCTTAATGTGGGCAGGGATGTCTGGAGGTTGGGAGAAATGGGCTGCCCAGCTGCGCTGGTGAAGGAGCCAGAGCGTGTGGGTGTGCTGAGGTCAGCCTACAATCCCATGTGCTCCAAGACAAAGGCTGCCGCAGTGTTTCCCATGGACCAGCATGAGCAGAGAGCACCTACAAGGGGTCCAAGCTTACCCCTTGGTCAGTTGGGACAGTGCAGTCGTGTCCCACAGGATCTTGTGGAGGGACAGAGGGGTGGTAGCAGCAAAAAGGTAGAGTTGGATGTCAAATTCCTAGGGCTGAGAAAGGAGTTGCTAGAGACCCCTTGGAAGAGAGGTGCATCCATCAAGGTCAAGGGTGAGAAGGGCCTGTGGCATTGGCCATCTCCATGAGCCCACAACAGTGTCCCATGACAGAAAAGGGGCAGCTTAAATTGTGTACTAGAGAGCTCAAAACCAGCCAGCATGGTGGCAGGTCAAGTGAGACCCTTCCTCTCTCCTCTCCATCTCTACCCAGCCCCCTCAGCCCCACCTCTGGGGAAGGGGAGGAGAAAGAGAGGAGCTTCCTACACCACCTCCCCACCGCAGCAGGCTGCCAACCTGAAGCAGGACCAAGGTGGCCCAGGGGAGAAGCTTTAAATGCAAATCAAGCTGGGAGTTGTGATCAGTAGCTTTACTGGACATTCTAATTTCTAAATTGATACTGTGTGTGTGACCTAGAGTAATTATAGAATTGTCTGTTTCTGGAGAATAAGCAGAAAAGTAACGGGGATGAGTTTTCACCTAGTGGCAGAGAAAATGTCTCTCCACTGAATAAATTTTAAAAGGGACGCTGGGAGACAAAAATAAAGGTGTGTTTAGATTACGTCATCAGTTGGGTTTGTTCAATATGCTGGTTGCAGCGGGATGGATGATTCTCTAAGACAAGCCTGGAAGTGAATATTCCCGAATGCCCTAGAGCTTGCTTCCTGAGGCAGGCAAGAAGTGTGGGTGCCTCTGGGGACCTCAAGTCCTTCCTTTATGGGATCAGCACCCCCTCCCGCCCCCCAGAAGCTTCAGTGGTTGGCGTCTGATGTCTTGTGTCTCCTTCTCCTGAGCACTGTGACCTTGGAAGTCACCTCACCCAAGAGGTTATCCTCCTCATCCACAGGTGGTTCACAGCCAACGACCTGGAAGAGATACAAAAGGCCAGCACCCTTGCCGGACTTTGCCTGAGAGCAAGTCTCTGCTTGGTTCTGTCCCATCCTGCTTTCCTCCCTCCCTTATGGGTTCCACCCTTAATAAATCACATGTGCTCCATCCCTGCCTCAGGTTCTGTTTCAAGGGAACCCGACTGAAGACAGCCCTGAGCCCCAGGAGGCATTCTATGACTGGGCCATTTACTTCATTAGCAAT